TTTTCCTGATGGCTTGTCCAGCTGGATTCACTCCTGCTTGCGAAAAGCTGACAAAAACAAGGACAACAAGATGAACTTCAAGGAGCTGAAGGACTTCTTGAAGGAACTGAACATACAGGTGGATGACAGCTATGCCAGGAAGATCTTCAGGGTGAGCTGGCCAGGTGGCTGCGGGGCCTCGGTCCTGGCCGGGGCCGGGTCTGAGCCAGGTCTGAGCCGGGTCTGAGCCCGCGCTCTGCCCTGGCTTTGCAGGAATGTGACCACTCCCAGACAGACTCGCTGGAGGACGAGGAGATTGAGACCTTCTACAAGATGCTGACCCAGCGGGCGGAGATCGACCGCGTCTTTGCCGAGGCTGCAGGATCCGCGGAGACCCTGTCGGTGGAAAAGCTCGTCACGTTCCTGCAGCATCAGCAGCGGGAGGAGGCCGCAGGGCCAGCACTGGCCCTCTCCCTCATTGAGCGCTACGAACCCAGTGAGACTGGTGAGGGCCCAGCCATCCTGGAGCCACATGACTGGGAGACTCTGATGGAACTGCAGACAGACAGACAGACGTGCTGCAGGGAGCCAGCCCCAGGGTCGCTGATCAGTGTGTGACTCTCCTGTGTAAGCAGGTGCATGGGAGAGAGAGCCCCAGTGTTTGTCCCGTCTGGGCTCCACTTCCCTTCAGTTCCTCTGCAGTGGCATTGAGTGTCCCTACCCCAAGACATAAGTGACCTGGGAAGCCACGGTCTTTGTTACTTCCCTCTTTGAGTCTATCCTGGATCAGCATTGAGTCATGACCTAGAGAAGACAAAGCGCCGCTTAGCAGGCCAGCCTGTCAGCGTAGTGAGACCCGGTCTCAAAGTGTAGCGTTAAAGAGGACTGGGAATACCGCTCAGTGGTAGTGTGAAAGACCCTGCAGTCAACTCTGGGGACTCGGAGGCGATGTCACCCAAAAGGGAAGGAAGGGAAAGAGGCAGGGCCTCACCCCACTGTGACCACAATCTCACTGGGAGCCCAGGACGTCTGCTCCCCAGAGCTGCAGATCACCAGCTGAAGGCGGGTGGGCAGGCAGAGCGGAGAAGACTTCTCTCCACAGCGGTAGGCAACTGTCTCTGACTGGAAATGGTGGCTTCTTCCTACCTAGCCAAGGCGCAGCGGCAGATGACCAAGGACGGCTTCCTCATGTACTTGCTGTCTGCTGATGGCAGCGCCTTCAACCTGGCGCACCGCCGTGTCTACCAGGACATGGGCCAGCCACTCAGCCACTACTTAGTGTCTTCTTCCCACAACACCTACCTGCTGGAAGACCAGCTCAGAGGGCCCAGCAGCACGGAGGCCTACATTCGGTGCGGTCCAGGGGCGGAGCTGTTAGGGGCGGGGCGGGGTGGGATCCGGGACAGGATCTAGAGGGTCCTAGCCCAGCTGTCATCACCCCCTACAGGGCTCTGTGCAAAGGCTGTCGCTGCTTGGAACTCGACTGCTGGGATGGTCCTAATCAGGAACCCATCATCTACCACGGTTACACTTTCACCTCCAAGATTCTTTTCTGTGACGTGCTCAGGGCCATCCGGGACTATGCCTTCAAGGTTGGGCGTGCCCATGGGAATGAGGAGAGGCCACTAGGGGTGGACAATCATCTAACTCATCTTGGGGCTTCTAGGCGTCCCCCTACCCCGTCATCCTGTCCCTGGAGAACCACTGCAGTCTGGAGCAGCAGCGAGTGATGGCGCTTCACCTGAAGGCTATCTTGGGGCCCATGCTGTTGGACCAGCCCCTGGAGGGGGTTACCACGAGTTTGCCTTCCCCTGAGGTACAGAGTGGGTACCCTGAAGGCAGGGAAGGGAACCTGGCTGGGAGGCCTATGTGGGTCCTCACCAGGGAGTTGATTATCCCCAGCAACTGAAGGGCAAGATCCTGCTGAAAGGGAAGAAGTTTGGAGGACTGCTTCCTGCTGGAGGGGAAAACGGGCCTGAGGCCACTGATGTGTCCGACGAAGATGAAGCCGCGGAAATGGAAGACGAGACCGTGCGGAGCCAAGTGCAGCAGAAGCCCAAGGTTCTAGGGGAAGCTGTGGAGGTGGGGTGGTCCCGGGTCCATCCCGCTCCCATTGCCCATGGGACGTTTGCCTTGTCTTAGTTTTTCTGTGGCTGCCATTCAGACCTTCTGCTCCCTCTCTCTGTCTGTCTCCCCCCTCTCTCTCTCTGTTGTCTGGGTTTCTTGCGCTCAGTGCCCACCTTGTCCTACCCCGTGGCTCTAACCTGGGCCTCCCCGTGGCCTCCAGGAGGATAAGCTAAAGCTGGCGCCGGAGCTCTCTGACATGGTCGTTTACTGCAAGAGTGTCCACTTTGGTGGCTTCTCCAATCCTAGCACCTACGGGCTGGCATTCTATGAGATGGCTTCCTTCTCTGAGAACCGTGCCCTCCGGCTGCTCCAGGAATCAGGTGAGCGCCTGTTCTTGCAGGCTTATGAACCTGGCTGTCTAGACTGGTCAAGCCCCGGGCTACCCTCCACCCTTGCCGGGGCCCTAAGCTAGCACTCCCGGACAGAACTGGCCAGAACTGGCGAGGTGGGGTCGGGTGGGGTGGGTAGGTCTGTCTTTAGCCCACCAAGGCCTTTACTGCTGACCCCACCTTTCCTCAGGAAATAGTTTTGTCCGCCACAACGTGAACCACCTGAGCAGGATCTACCCAGCTGGGAGAAGAACAGACTCCTCCAACTACAGTCCTGTGGAGATGTGGAATGGGGGCTGCCAGATTGGTACGGACCACCTGGGATGAATGGCGGGGGGGGGCGGTTAGAAAGAGCACCTGACCTTGATCCTTGATGTCCAGTGGCCTAGAGCCCTGAAGGTCATGGGATGAGAAGGTTTGGGTGCCAAACAAGAGCTGCGCATGGAACTTGCCGAGCCAGCAAGTCTGTGCCTGGTGTGCACTCCAGCCCTGTGCATTTTGCCATCGGAAATGGAGCAGGTAGTTCAGCCGTTGACGTGCTTGCCTGGCTTGCAGGACATCATCCTGGGTTCAAAACTCTGCACTGCAGAGAACAGGAGTGGTGTCACGCCTGTCCTCCCAGACTTTTTGAGGAGGAGGCAGGGATGGGGTAGGGTAGGTGGGTTAGGAGCTCCAGGTCTTCCTTTGCCACATAGTGAATTCAAGGCCAGACTGGGCTACAGGAGATGCTGCCTCAAAACCCAACAAAACAGGCTGGGGAAATGACTCAGTCAGCTCAATGTTTGCCATCCAAACAAACCGACAAGGTCCTGCATTGGGATCCCTACCCATGTAACGTGTCAGGGGTGATGGCACACACCGTACACACACTGTACACACACTGTAACCCCGGCACTGAGGAGGCAGAGGTAGGCTGCTCTCTGGAGCTCATGGCCAACCCATCTGGTGGATTGGTAAGATCCAGGTTCAATAGAGACCCTGTCCCCAAAATAAAGAATAATTGAGAAAGATGTCAGACATTGACCTCTGGCCTCCATGTATGTATAAACATATGCACACAGTCATGTGAACACACACTTATACACACACAAATAAATAGGACGTGATCAGTGTGGTGGGTCAGGTAGGATGATGGGAAGACAGGAGACACTGGAGCATCATTGGATCCTGCTCCCAATGCACACAGAAACTCGACTATAGTGCATTCTGAGCAGGCTGGGCTTGAGTACTCTGGAGCCAGCCTGCAGCTTGTGTATACTCTGATCTACCTGCAGTGGCTCTCAACTTCCAAACCCCTGGGCCAGAGATGGATGTATACCTGGGCCGCTTCCAGGACAATGGAGCCTGTGGGTATGTGCTGAAACCTGCCTTCCTGAGAGACCCCAACACCACCTTCAACTCACGTGCCCTGACTCAGGGGCCCTGGTGGGCTCCGAAGAGGCTCCGTGTCCGGGTATGGCCAGACACAGAAGGGACAGCTGCCTGTGGGGATCTGTCCTGCTCACTGCTGTCTGAGAATGCTCACTGTCCCCACCTTCCCTTAGATCATCTCAGGACAGCAGCTGCCAAAAGTCAACAAGAGCAAGAATTCAATCGTGGACCCCAAGGTGATAGTGGAGATCCACGGTGTGAGCCGGGACGTGGCCAGCCGCCAGACCGCAGTGATTACCAATAATGGTATAGTGTACACCGGCTGGGTTGGGCCAGGCCGATGGTGCTGGTGACCTTGCTGTTGACATGGTGTTTGTCCTTCTAGGTTTCAACCCCTGGTGGGACACGGAGTTTGAGTTTGAGGTGGCAGTGCCTGACCTTGCCCTTGTACGCTTTGTAGTAGAGGACTACGATGCCTCCTCCAAGAACGACTTTATTGGCCAGAGTACTATCCCCTGGAGCAGCCTCAAACAGGGTGAGTGTTGGCGGGAAGGGGCCAGCAAGCAGCAGCGGGCAGGTCCTGGCTTCCCCCAGCCTGCAGATCACTCTGCCTGGAGCATCTTCTCCCAGTGACCAGAACTGTCCTTCCCACCAGGGTACCGCCACATCCACCTCTTGTCTAAGAACGGAGACCAGCATCCGTCAGCCACGCTGTTTGTGAAGATCTCCCTCCAGGACTAAGCCTGGGGGTGGGTGAGGTCCACTCTGAGTGGGCCACGCTGTGTCCACCCCTGGGGCAAGGCTGGCATGTTGCACCGACTTCTGATGTGGAGAGCGAGGGCCTGAACTGCCTAGCTCTAATACATCAACTGTGCTTCCTGCCTCTCTGGGGACCCAGGAGCAGTCCAGTCCCTGGAGTGGCCAGACTTCCGTTAGGAACAACACTGCAGCCCTCCCCCTACCCTAGCTGTCTGTAGGTTGTGAGTTTTTATAAAAATCACTAGGTAAAGCCTTAGAGTCTTTTTACATAGACACCAGAGACTCCGTCAAGGCCTCATGCACACTCCTTCCCGCCATCATGGGGGTCGTCTGGAGTGAGCAGGCGGAAGGAGCCCTTTCCACCCAGGAGGGTATTACCCAGAGTGCCACAGGGCCCTGCTGCAGAGAAGGTGAAGGCACACAGGCCACACCTGACACCAACCAACTGGCTTTTTATTAGGAACGGGGAGGTATTCCAGGAGACTCGGCGTGTGGCAAGCAGGGCTCCCCCAGCTCAGAAGAAGCCCAGCTTCTTTTTCTCTTGCTGCTGCTTCCACTTGGCCATGTTGTAGAACTCCTCCTTGGATTTCCCAAAGATGTCTTGAAAGTCAGAGTCTGAGAGATAGAACTGGGGGAGGGGGTAGGAGTGGCGTTGGGAGGGACAGGATTCCTGTGCCACTCAGAGGTGTGATCCATCCACACTTCTCCAGGCTGCCCACTGCCTGTCTGTGACCACTACGGGAGGCAGGGTACCCGGGGCCCCTCCAGTGCTGACAACAGTGTCTGGTACCCACCTCCTTGCGGGCAGGATCCACTCCCTGTGGCAGATCCTCCACAGCCTGGTGCATCAGCCTTTCCCGGGGCAGGCTCCCATTGGCTGCGGAGCTGCTGCAGCCCTCGCTGGGGCTTTTGCTGGGGTTCTTGCCATCCACTCTGTGGCCCAGCTCCAGATCACTCTCTGGGCTTTCCTGGGAACTCTTAAAGGCCAGTAGGGTCGAGGGACCTGCCTTGATGTCACCCGGCCCTCGAGTTAGCTGGAAGTTATGTACTTCCTGTCCAGAGAAAAGCTCACGGAAGATGGGGGACTGGAGCCCACTGAAGATCACATTGAACCCACAGGCCTCTTGGCACCATCTGAACCCAGACCACTATGTGGGGCCTCCAGGAAAACTGCTGGACACTTACTGCTGTTATCTCAGAGATGGCAGACGCTGGGCACAGGCTTCCTTCTACAATCTCCTCATAGGACTGGTTGTTCTGGGGGGGGGCAGGAGTTGGGGCGGGAGTTGGCATAGGACTGGTTGTTCTCGGGGGCAGAAGTTAGGGCAGGATTGGGGGGACTGGCAAGGGAAGGAGCTCCCCAAAACCCAGGCAGGAGCCTAAAGGACAAGGTCAGGTCTCCCCCTTACTCATGGGAGATCCTCAGCCTGGAGGGGGGGCTCTTAGAACGCTCCCCAAGACAAAGATGGGGGAGGGGTGCTAGGCCTCACCATCCACTTGTAGGGGTCCCAGGTGACAAACCACCCAGTGAAGGTGGCAGGCTCATGGCCCTGCTTGACCAGAATGATGGGTGTGTCCAGGCTCCTCTCTGCTGGGTGAGTCCTCAGGTACTCCCGGCCCCAGGCCACTGCCTCCTTCCTCTGATCACCTGCTTCTTCCCCAAGCCACAGGAAGATCTGGGCCACAGAGAAAGCCTGGGCTGGGACAGGCGGAGGAACCCCCTGACTCGGTCACCTCCTCCCGACTCTATGCTGCCAGGTAGCCTCAAAACCCTGCGTGCATATGCCTGGCCAAGAGCACTTGCCCAGCAAGTTGAGATGCTCCCACGCTGTGAACACTTGCCATCACAGGCTTGCAAACATGCATCTAATATCTAATATAAATAGTTACAAAGCACTAGCGTGTGCTAGGAACTAAACACGCAACAGTGAAAGGAATCCAAGTTACTGTCCCCAAACCAGGTAGTGTGGCATGTGTCTGTAATGACAACACTGGCGAGGTAGAGGCAGGGGATCAGTTAGTTCAAGGCCATACTTGGCTACCAGAGAAAGTTTGAGGCTAAAAAAAGAGGGCCTGGGGTTGCTTGCTTAGTCAAGTCCTGGGCTGACACCTAGAGGGGGTGGGCAGGCCCAAAATTCCAGCAGAGTCATAGGCCAGAGGACGTTCAGGTTACATAGTGAGCTTAAAACCATTCTGGCCTATAGAGATCTGTCTCAAAAGAAGCAAAGAGTTGGGAAAAGTCTCTGCTCTCAGAGTCTTCATGGGAGAGCAGGCCACATGTATGTTTCAGAAGAAAGTGAAGAAGGGTCAGGCAGTGCCGAGGCCATAAGCAGGATGTACCTGGCACGCTCAGGGGACAGTGAGAGCCACCACGGCTGGAAAAAAGCCAGCAAGGTAGAGTCCGGAGATTTGATCAGAGAGCGTTGGCTAGGTAATGGGGGAGCTTGTGAAGTGGGGAAGAGGGAGGAGATGTAGTCTGGGCTTGGGAGCTCAACCTCCTCAGAACTCAGACAGTACCACACACAGTCTCTCTCACACACAGTGACACACAGACACACACAGTGACGTCACATTTGGCTACATACACCATCTCAGAGCCACGCACATACAGTTGCTCAGCCACGCCAACAGCCTATCATGTGTCCCTTCTTTCCGTCTCACACAGACACACGTGCACAGGCAGCGCCACCAGCTACAACTGGTCTGGCTGGTTCTGTGTAGTACTGGACCACACAATCGCTGGCATCGTCTACCCAGTCAAATGTGCAGGTTCAGAGAATCATTGCATGTATGCTGTTATCCAATCAGTGTTTCCATTTACTGCCATTACCATACAGTCAGTCACAGGCCCTCATGGGGAGTCATACGTGGCATCATAGGACACACAGTAATATATACAACATGCAAGGTTATGATCACACACAGCCCAACTCTTGTTCCTAGTGTGTTGTGGTCTTCCTATCACACCCAGACTCTCAATCCATGGCAACAATCAGTCACAGGCTAAGTTCACCTTCACACCCAACTCCACCAATGTGGACACGCCCAGCGTTCCCAGCCCAGCTGAGCTGGAGTGACTGCCTCACCTCCTGACAGGTGTCTAGTAACATGACGTCATACTTGTCCAAGTCCTCTTGGTCAAAGAACACCACTTCCATGAGGACCAGGCAGCCCGAGGGGCTGGAGCATTCAAACAGTCGGGGCTGGGTGCTGGAGAACTCCTCAGGAAGCCTGGCCAGAGGAGGGGCTGTGAGGGGTGCGGTCTGGGCCACACTGGCCCTTGGCATGTGTGCCCCACCCCCACCTCAGGGAAATCCGTCCTCTGGGACAGGAGACCTGGGCTTTCCTCTGGACTCCACCCACCCCTTGGCTTTCTCTGGGAGTGCCTGCTCTGGGCCAGGGCGCCTTTCTTTCAGGGGACAAATAGAGAAGGTGACTGAAAGTCTATCAGCTGCTCCATAGATGGGGCAAGGGGACCTGAGACCTAGTGGGGAGAAGCTGAGCTGAGGCCCCGTCCTCCTTAGATTGGGAGTCACCTGCATTCAGTTAAGCCAGGGAGTAGCCTCAGATCCAGAGTGGGAGGAGGGGAGCAGTCTGGGAGGGTTGTAGAACATTTAACTATGTAAAGATGTATTGCATTTGTGTGTGCTGTGTTTGTTTAATTACGTAAAGATGTATTGCATTTGGTTTCACCTTGCCTGCCTACAGCTCCTAATTTGGCCTAATAAAACGCTGGATGGCCAATAGCTAGGCAAAGGAGAAGTAGGGGGGTTGGTGGGCAGAGAGAGTAAGTAGGAGGGGAACTCCAAGCTCAAGAGAGAAAAGAGAGCTAGGGAGAAAGAAAGAGACGGGACATGTCGGGGCCAGAAACCAGGCAGCTACTAGACAGCCAGTCACAGGGAAATAGGACATACAGAAAGGTAAAAAATCCCGAGGTAAACTGTAGATAAAAAGAAACAGATTAAAATAAGAGCTAAGATAAGGCCAAGCATTTATAATTAATAAGAAGTCTCTGTGTCGTGATTTGGGAGCTGGTTGATGGCCCAAAAGAAAGCCTGGTACATGAAAGCCCAGAAGACTTGGGTGGACAGCAGCACCCAGGGACTCAGCTCCTTCTGTCCTTGAGTCTTAGCCTGCCCTTACCCCAGGGTTCGTCCTGCTAGGGATTGCCCCTAGAGGCGGTGCAGAAAGAGGATTCTGCCAGCAGAGGGCGCCATTTCTCCATTTGCCCTGGCATTGACCCCATCCAAGTTACCAAGGGCTGGAGACTTTAAGGCAGGCTCCTGTGCCCCTGCGGGTGGAGGACGGGCGAGTCCCTCAGTTCTAGGCTTATCTTTCCAGCTCTCTGTGTGATTCATTAGTCACCACCTCCGGGCCTCAGCTCCTCCTCAAGATAAATATTTTCTCCTGTAATCCCATTACCTCTTGTTGCTGGGATAGGGGGCCCGGCCTCCAAGGGCTTCCCAGAAGTGGGGAGGCTCCCGACCCTCCAGCACCGTCTCTGTGTTATTTCCAGCGAAGACAGTGACCACCATCCGCGCCATCTCACGCTGGTCCCCATTACAGCCCTGGCAAGCAGAGGCTGGGTCAAACCCTACAGCAGGCAGGGCTTCACCTCCAGTCCCATGTCCATTCACTGGGGTCTGTGTGGAGCTGGACCTGAGCCAAGGGAGGCCTAAGCTATGCGGAAGACCCCTGTGAGCAAGGCATCTCCCTTTCAGCTGAGTCTCTCTGGGCCCAGAGTGTGGATGAGAGACACTCAGGTTTGGGAGTCATTTGCGGTTTATGCTAAAGATAAAACAACAATAACAACAACAAAACCCACAAGCAAACAAGACTAGGCCTCTCTCTCTTTCCCAGAGAGACTTGGGGAAAGTCTCCAAGCAGGAAGGAAGGCAGCCAGAGCCAGGCTTGCCTCTGCTCTGAGGAACCCCAGTTCACTTGTGAATCAGGGTTCCTGGGCCCCTTCACACCACCCACAGAACCATCCCACTGCCTCTATCTAGCTGGGTTTCAAGCCTGCATTCGGGTGGAGGGGACCCCTCTCTGACCCAGCGACACTTTCCCAAGTGGTGATTGATGCACTGGTACCTTCCCAAACCAGAGGTAGCAGACTTCTGTTGTGACCAGGAAGAAGATGTCACCAGACGTGAGGGAGGAAGCGCGGGCTGGCACCTCCATAGTTCTGGTGTTGAGGCTGTCAGCCCCTTGCATGTGGAACAGCCTCGTGCTGGAGATTGGCGGCCTCTTCCCTCCATTGTCTGCACACCCCTAGAAGAAGGTGGGGGCCCCGGCTGAGGCAAGGGCTCCTGGGAGCAACCTCCCTGCCCTAGAGGTAAACAAACTGCTTCAAAGGCTACCACTGTCCTATGGCCCCTTTCAAATTAGATTGCCACCCATTTCAGAGGGCCCAGAGCAAGCTCCTGCCACCATGGTGTGCCACCTCATCTAGGCACAGAACCAACAGAGCCAGGGGTCATGAGACCTCTGAATTGGACCTAAAATGAATCCTTCATTTTTGTGGTTTTTGTTAGATAGATGATGATTGTTATTATTATTGATTATTATTATGAGTACATGCGTGTGTAATAGCGCTCGCGAAGGTCCTGGGATGTCAGATGTCATTCTCAGGAATGCTCTCCACCTCGTCTGAGATAAGGTCTCTCATGGCCGGGAGCTCACCAGTGACGCTAGACTGGCTGGCTGTTGAGCTCCGGGAATCCTCCTGTCTCCACTTCCCCCAGGCTAGGATCACAAGCACGCAGCGTCACACCCAGCATCTTTGTGTGGAGGCTGGAGTCACTCACGCCCAGGCTTGCACACCTCTCCAGCCCCCGTGTCAAGGGGAAGTCCAACGTGGGCTCTACCTGGAAGACCACCAGCTGTCCCTGGAAGATAGCCAGGAAGTGGGGGGGCTCTCTGCCCATGGTCACATGTGCCTGCACCAATGCTCCGTGGTACATGAGGTCCATCTCCTCAGCATTGCTGTTCAGGGCCTTGGTGTCTTCTATGGTGGTCTGGAGGCCCTGCAGAAGGGAGGGGGACATTAATGGCCTGGGGTTTCCTCTTTCGCTCTTAGAGTCTAGGTCTCGGGCTGGAAGGCAGCTGACATCCCAGCAGGTGCGCATACCTGCCATAGGTACAGGATGTACCGGACGCGGCCAAGTTTCTTGTATGTGTAGAGGGCAAGGTAGCAGTTTCCTGAGCACAACTGGCCGTGGTGCTTGGGGTCCACAGGCTGCCTTTGTAAGTCCTGGATGCACCACACCTGGGGACCGAGGGACCCATGGGCACAGATGAACCTTACCTGCAGCAGCCTGCCCACCTGCACCCAGCTGGGAAGCTCTCATTGGCTCCTCTGTGTCAGGAAGCGCTTGCCCAGTTCTGTGATTTCATGCTTCACTTTGGACCTGTGAGTGACCCTTTCCCCCACGGACCTCAGCAACCCCACGCCTTTGCTAGCCTCCCCTCCCCTCAGCACGGATTTAGTTTGCCTTCTGCACCTGGGAAAATAAACGGAAGACTGGAATCTACACGATGGACCCAGCTCCAGGCCCCTGGACACCTCCGTCTAGACCCCACTAGCTATGGCCCCGACTAGGGGCAGACAGCACCCAGACAGTACCCCTTCCCCAGGCGCAGAGGTGCTCTGCTCAGGCCAGGAGGGCAGAAGCGAGGCTGAAAGAGAGGCCTTGGCGCTCCGGAGGGAAAATTTCTCTTCTTTGTAGTGTCATTGAAAGCAACAACAAAACAAACCCCTGAACAAACAAAAACCAGGGCTGGGGTGTGATTTAGTTGGTCGAGTGCTTGTCTGGCATGCACAATGTCTTGGAACCCCTCAAAACCAGCATTCTGCCTGTAAGCCTGGCCCTGGGGAAGTGAGGCAGGAGAATCAGAAGTTCAAGGTCAGCCTTGACAGTCTAGTGAGTTTGAGGCCAGCTTGGGATATGTGAGACCCTGTGTAATAAAACAAACAGAAAACCAGTGACTGCTCGAAGACTGAAGGGACAGCGCTTGCTCACATTTGTCTGAGTGATGGCTTGTTGCTATGGAAGCCACACCTCAGCTTTAGAACCAGACAGAACTGGTGGAAGTACAGGTCTGTGCAGGCTGGCTCTCCCAAGCCCCAGTTCTTCCCACCTGTACGCTGGGGATCATAGCGCCAACCCTGCTGCACACCAACCACAGCGCCTGGTGTCCCTGACCCACCAACCTCACCACACATCTGCCAGCCTGGAACCTGCACCTGCTGTCCATTACCCACACAGACTGGCAGTGAGTGTCACCAAAGGAGCTCCTCTCTAGACCAGGACATCAGAACCCCATGTTTTTCTGAAAAGACTGCCTCAGCCCAAAACCTCCCTAGAGGTACTCTTACCTGGGTGAGAGGACTCCCTACTTCCACAGGCCCCTCGCCTTTGTGCTTGGAGCTGATCCCAGACCCCTTTTGCAACTTCCTTGCCATCCTCCCTCTTGCTCTGTCCACCCGGCCCCTTCCTTTACCTCTGCTTATTCCCCAGCCTCCCTCCTTTCTCCTCTCCCCGGGTTTCCTCCATTACCCTGTCTCCTTTCAGTCCTGCTTTCCCAGTCTTCCCGCCCACTCCCTCTGTCTTCTTCTCCTCCCCTCTCCCGTTTCTTCTCCTCTCTCCATCTCTTCTCTCTCATCACTTCTGATCATCCATATAAGGGCAAATGTAGGCAGGACTTCTATTTCCTCTGAACTCAGTTTACCTACAGATTTAGACTCCACTCCTGTCTCCTCACACATAGACACACACAGGTTGAGTAGCCTTGTTCCCTTTCCCAGAGGCTCATAGCATCCCCACATTAGGAGATGCTTGGGGCCAGATTGGACCATAATCTCTGCGTCCATTTTTTTTAATTAATTTATTTGTTTGTTTGGTTTTGGTTTTTCGAGACAGGATTTCTCTATAGTTTTGGAGCCTGTCCTGGAACTAGCTCTTGTAGACCAGGTATTTATTCTGTATACAGTGTTCTGACTGCATGGCTGCTTGCATACCAGAAGAGGGCGCCACATCTCATTATAGATGACTGTGAGCCACCATGTGCATGCTGGGAATTGAACTCAGGACTTCTAGGAAGAGCAGTCAGTGCTCTTAACCTCTGAATCATCTCTCCAGCTGGACTTAAAACAGGCTCTAGGGAACTAAGGGTTCTGCCTTAATATGTCCAACAGGTCAGAGTGAGAACACTGGACTGAGGCCAGATAAGGGTTTGTAACAGGTGTGCAGGGTCCATGATTTATGTGTCTTCACCAGAGTTGGCCACAGGGCATGGTTCATTGTCCAGGTGTTGTCCAGCTGTGTGCCTGTGAGTGAGTGTTCACGGTGTGTGTGAGCCAGCTGTTGGAGAGTGGACATGTATGTTTCTGTTTCCCTGAATACATCCCTGATTGTGTGGGGGTGTTCCTGGGTTGTTTTAGCTGTTGAGACAGTGTTTCTTGTCATTCAGACTGGCCACCATGCTGGGTTTGCAGGTGTGACCCCAAGTCAACTGTTCCCCAATAAGCTGTTCTCTATCCTGTGTGCATACCCCCACCCCCAAGCCAGTGCCCTCACCTCCACTTGCCCAGAGCCGTCATCTACCATTCTGAGCTGGGCTGCTAGCTCAGGCTGGGTGTGCAGCTTGCTTACATCCAGTTTTGCCTGCATCCGTTTATCTGTGTATGGAGTTTAGAGTCAGTGACGTTCCTCAGTGTACCTGGGCCCACGCCCTCCTCACCCTTCTCACCGGCCCAGGACACGCCCTCTTTCTGCTTGTCCTCCTCACCTGTTCTGCCCCCTCCGGATTTAGAATCCCCAGCAGCCTCTGGTTCTGTCCAGGTCTGCCCATGTCCCAGGCTCCACCCCCGCACCCCACCCCCAGGCTCCACCCCCTTACTCACGGCCCACTCGGTGTTTTTTCCCATCTGGCTCCTTCGACCACATCTGGAACAGCTGCTGGAAGGCGGTCGACTCGGCACCATCGCTCACCACCTCCACATTGGTGTAGCTTGGGTAGCCCTTGGCCTGGATGAAGCCCTGGGACACAACTCTGTCAGGCAGGCTGAGGCCCAAGGACTCTAGGCTGTGTTCAGCCCCCAGAAACATCCCTCAACTGTGGCTACCGAGACAGCCAAGCTCTGAACTGCATCAATTAACTAACCATGAGACCCATTTTACAAGCCGGCTCCCTCGCCACTGATCTTCCGGTCTCTGACGGTAGGCCAAGCCTGGTGAAGCACTGGCCATGACATACCCTACTGTCCCGTAAACCTCCTCTGCCCCCAGTGGAGAAGGCTCCTGCCTCAAGGCCAGGCTGAGACCTGCACACGTGACGTCTTGGCTGTCAGGAATCTTCCCCGCCACATAAGGTTTCGGGGTAGACACACTCACTTCCTGACCCCAGAATAAAGATGTTCCAGGAGAGCCATTTGTTCCCTTCGACCCCAGGCAGGGCATCCTGTATCAGATCTGTCTTGCTTTCCCAGAGGGGACCCAGGACCTCACCACAGCCCTGGTGAATGCAGCCTTCTTGTCCTGGGGACTGGACTTCCGTCCCTGCCACATGTAAATCTTGAAGCCACCCTGGTCCAGGAGATAGCAGCCCTAGGAAAAAGGTTGAGTCTGGTCAGCAGGGACCAGGGTTATGAGGGGAAAGGGTGGGGTACCAGACCCGGGCGTTCCTTACTTCCTCTTGCAGAAGGTCCTGGGTCAGTGGGCGGGTCGCCAATTCCTGGACCACCAGGTCCATTCCCTTCTCAAAGACACTGTGGGGCAGGCATCCAGATGTGAACAGCTGGTCTCTTCCTGGCCTGATACCAGCCTAGTGCCCTTGAACTCCTCTGGTTTCCCAGAGACTGAAGTCATGAGTTGTCAACTCAATTATTGTGCCTCTCCTTGGGGCTTAGGTAGCTCCTTGACCCCCCACAGGGCCTCAGTTTTCCCATCTGTACTATGGGCTTTTCACCGATGCTATCACATGCCCTGCAAGAGTGCAGATCATATGGGCCTATCACCCCACTTGACCTTCCCTGGAGACCTCCGTGTATTTACTAGAGGTTTCCGTGGAGATGCTTTGTTGTTTTAATAAGGACACACAGTTGTGACCCTTCACTATCCCTGTGCCCTCCCCCAGTTCTGCTCACTGGTAGAGACGGACGTTGGCCTTCTGCTGCTGGCTAATGCTGTCGCTGGGCACAGCGGCACTCATGCTGCCTGATCTGCAGCCCAGCACAGCCTCCATGATGTGTACGAGGTCCGTGGCTTTGTTCTCGTCCTCCACCACACCGATCTGGGCACGGCCACCGCGCTCCCTGTCCCTGAGGCTGCAAGTCAGGGCCAGCGCCTGCAGGAGAGGAGCCGGGGCTCAAGGCTTCCTGGGAGCGGCCCCTCATTCCACACACAGCCTAGCCAGGTCTTTCTTGGTACCCATAGGCATGGGCATAGGGCCAGGGGAGCTGGTGTCCTGTCATATTAGTGTTCCCAGGTCTGCTGTACTCTACCTAACAGAGGCCCAAGCCCACTACCCCTTGAAGTGGTCAGATGATGGGCGCTCAGAGAGCTTCCTCTCCCCGAGCCCTGTACTCTCAGTTCTTAGGGCAGACACTGACCCGTGACTTCTCAGAAATGCTGGTTTTGGGTCCATTCCATTGGATCATCACCTTGCCCAGGTCCAACAGGAAGATGTCTCCCTTATTAAAGCTGTTCCAGGACAAGGTCACCTTCCAGAGTCAGGAGAGAGGTGTGGAGGGAAAAGGTGTCAGACCACCAGAACCAAAGGATGGGGGAGGGGATGGGGGAGGAGGAGAGAGAGGGGGAGGGGCGAGGCAGGGTGTGTCGCCTGTATGCGTGAGGTTGTGTGCAGCTGTTTATGTGTGTATGTGAGATAGTGCCTGTCACAGCATGCAGGCTTGCATCCTCATAGCCACACGTGACCTTTCATGTGGTTATACAGAAGCGGGACATAGGCAATTGCTTATCTCTTTATGAACATGTATACATGCGTGTATGGGACACATCATGTATGAACAGGAGCATGTTCTCTAGGGGACAGTATCTATGTGTCTGTGTGGTGACAATATGAAATGGAGCGTAAAGATGGTTATTGAAACAGACACATTTTGAGGACACCGAATAATCCCAACGGCATAATGGGTTAACCAAGGACTACATGACACCCATCCCCACCTGACCAGGATTCTGTGGGGTTATGGTGCAGAGTCTGGGAAGGATTGTGTGCCTCCCAGGGCTGCTGTACGCTTGGTTGACTGTCATATAAAGGGGGGACTAAAGGGTCACCCCCCCACACTGTAGATGATGCTCATTGCGCAAACTCTGGCCGCGAGCAGAATGCCTTGCTCCTCTGTTAATTTCCTGGTGCGTGAATCAAAGGGCACTGCTTGGACTAGAGTGAGGGTGTACCTGGGAATGACGGGGGGTGGATGGTGTGAGTGTGTGTGTGTGTGACAATAGATGCGTGAGAGAAAGTGTGAGGCTATATCACACTCCCATCGTGCTCCCTTCAAGGGCCCAGTGCACTCCGCTTCTGCCTCCTCTGCCCACATTCTCAAAGCTCCCACGAGGCATGAGGGAAGACAGGGGCCCAGCAGCAGAGCAGAGGTGGGGCGGGAACCCAAGGCTGCCTTGCGTCTCTTTAGTGAGATGGGCCATCTGGGGAGCTGTCGTTCACCGCTCCCCACACTCCTCACATTCTCCGCCTTTCTCATGCTTTAGGATACTCGGCCCCTGTGAGTCTGGAGGTCAGACCGTGTCCCTGTCTGCTCTCACCTCGGTGGCAGACACATGCTTCCTTCCCCTGATGTGCAACAGTCGCTGGACATTGTACAGGTTGGTCTCCACGTGCTTGAGGGCAGAGGCTCGACCTCCCTTCCTGTAGCTGAGGAAGGGATTGGGACCCGTGAATGAAAACACACCTTGTGTAGGAACGAGTGTGGGAGTGAGCAAAGGCTCGTGTGCAAGTCTGTGTGGGAAGGTCAATGTCTGTGATACATGTGTCTGAGTACATGTGAGCATATGTATGCGTGAGCACATGAGGTGCATGACGCACAGTGTGCATTGCTCTTCAGCATGTAGAACTGTGTAGACTGGTAAATCTGGGGATTTCAGACGTGTTTTTACCTGGGTGAGACTAGTTGTGAGTACATGGAAGGGCATATTTGTGTGGTAGATATGAATGTATGTGAGCTTACATATCTTAACAAAGTACATACACTAACACACACATGCACACACACACACGCACGCAAACACGCATGCACGCACGTTACTGGTCAGCCAAAGAAAAGCCAGCATCTCAGGGTACCCTCACCAGAGTATTTCGCACACTGCGTCCCCTCTCTCTGTCCCCCTCTCCTCAGCACTCACACGACTCCAGGGTGGAAATAACTGTGGAAGCAGTCCGACTCATGGCCCTGTGACTCTCGGTGCAACACCGTCTGCTCTCCTAGAACCTCCTGGAGGCGCTGCACAGAAGTAACTGCAGCCCCCTGGGTCTCTGCGCTGGCCTCCTTTCCAATCCAGTAGTGCAGGTCGCTGGACCCTCCCCGGTTAGCCTTTGGGCTCTGAGGGACCTAGGGTTCAGGCATTTGTATATGTGGAGGGGGAAGAAACCAGGCTCACTCCAAGGCATGGTGGGAGAGTGAGTGATGTGGAGCCAGGGATCAAGGAGCCAGTGGACAGGCACTTGGATGAGGCTATGAGGAAAATGGGGACTAGAAGGCCCCAAGGCAGCAGCCCCTGGTGGGTGGCATGTGGTATGGGGGCTTCTGATCTCAAGACAGAGTTTATTTCCGGGCCTGAGTTTCTTCAGCTCTGGGCCATGCTAGCCCTCAGAAAGACTCCCCGAGTGACTTACGTGAAGGATGATATAGCAGCATTCCTCGAAGAAATTCCCATGAGCCCTATCAGGCAGTGGCAGCATCTTTAGGTTCTGAGAGAGGAGGTCGCCAAGAAGCAAGTTAGGGACCTTTCCCTATGGCGGCCAGTGATAGGGTGGAGGAGGGAGCTCTAGCCGGGAGGAGGGAGAGGATGGCAACACTACTCCATGTTGCAGGCTGTGCTATCTGGTCTTGCCCCTCACCTCAGTAACCCATATTTGGAGAACTCTGTGGCTGTCAATGGCTGGGAGGTCCTGGTTGGTGTCCATCCTAGGCTAGGCAAGGACGATGGTTGATGCAGAGGTTGGGGGATAGCCTCTTCTAACACAGGTGTGTGTTACAGGCTCCAAGCAAGAGTTCCTCTGCCACCCGAAGCTTTCCAAAGCACCTTCACAAGGGAATGTAACCTTCGTTAAACATGCAACTTCAGCAAACCAGGCAGGTACAGTGGATGGGCTTACAGGGGCCTGGGCAAACTTCAGCAAATCGGGAGAGGCTCACTGACAGGCGTACAGGAACCTGGTTGGTCTGTGGGAAAGCTTCCCAGCAAGCAGAGCTCTCTGGCCAGGAGTGCCCTCCAGCTAGCAGCAACATCTGGAGACAGAGTTAGAGACTGACCACCACGTGCTTGAGGTATATTCAGCTGGTAGAATGCCTAGCATACAGAAAGCCCTGGGTTTGACCCCCAGCACCACACAGAACCAGGCGTGGCGGTGCATGGCTTTAATGCCCGCACCCAGGAGGTGGAGGCAGGAGGATCGGAAGTTCAGGATTCTTCTCAGCTATAGAGAAGATCTGAGGCAGGCTGAGTTACAGGAGATCTTGTCTAAAAGAATCAAAAGGAAAAAGAAACAGGCAGACAGCTTTTAGCCAGACCTAGGGTCTGCAGACTCCGGACAGTTACTGCAGATAGTGCCAAATTAGACTCTTACAAAAGGAACCAGTGGGGCTCAAGGCTGTATGGAAAGACAGGTTCTGACCTCAAGGAAAGCAGCAGCTACACACAGGTCTGACAGAGTTAGAAACAAGCGTGTAAGTAGACACCGGGCTGCGCAGTGCAGCGGGCTGTGTAGATGGGGGCTTCACAAACAGCCACGCCTTCTGCAGACTAAACACTGAACGACTCAAGCTCTCAGAGAGAAAGGAGGACTTCAAACAGGGGCTCTCCATGTGTACAAGGACAGCTTTGGGGAGACCCAGGCACTGCCCAGGGAAGGTCAGACAGACTTGGCAAATAGGCAAAGACCGGAAGCTGAGAAAGGCTCCGCAAACAGGTATGGGTTCTGCAGGCCCACAGGGACTTCACAGCCTAGGGATGGTTATGCTAACGGGGATGAGAAAGGACTCTGTAGAAGGGGCAGCGTCTGAAGCTACAGGGCAAGTACAGTGACGCAGAAGACTCCGCAGACAGGAGCCACACCGTGGCCATAGAAAGGCCCCTAGTCGGAGGCAGGTTTTAAAGGCTGGAAGAGCCCTGTAGACATGGCAGAGCCTTGTATGTAGGATACCTCCAGAAAACAGACGATGAGAATAGGTGGGGAAAACCATGAGGCCTTGCAAAGAGATTTCAGGTCTGTAAAAAGACGCCTGCCTTGCAGTCAGGTCAGGGAGTTTGCAGAAGAGCTGAGGCTCCGTGAGCCTGCAGAGGATTTACAGCCTGGGTATGCCAAAGGTGTTGACGTCACCAGAGAGGCATGGAGCTGCGGCTGAGTCACAGGGAAGCCAGCACTGTGGGCAGGCACGTGTCACTGTGGATACAAGCAGGATTCTGAAGCAGGCCTGGCTTCTATGGGGAATGTGAGGACTCCTGAGTCCTGCAAAGCAGACAGACTATATAGGTCAGATAGGAAGTGGATGAGCCCTGCCCGCAGGTCCATCGGCAAGCAGGAGCCTATAGCGGCAGAGGTTCTGAGAGCCGGAGTGATGTCTGCAGGAGCAGGTGGGAGCCGCCTGACAAACATAACCTCTGTCCCATGAGAAACTCTCCACTAGAACATGCTGAACGGGTTTCTACCCAGGGCAGTTCAGACAGGCGGAGCAAAGGGGGAGCCCCCTAAAAAGATCACGGGGTCACATGGGAGACTCAAGCTCTGCAGAACACACATAGACAGAAGATGATTCGAAAGTGGAGGAGGCCCTGTCATCAGGTCACAGAGACACGCCAGCCATCCCGCAAATGCGAGGATATTCTAGAGAGACACTTGTGTTCCACCCTATTGGTGACACCCGTCCCAATTGCAATGTCCTCAGGAATTTCATTCTGGAGGGAGGGTCGGCTTGAGGGAGGGCTTGTCCCCCAAGGAGAGAGCTCACACAGTCTGACAACTTGTCACAACACCTTGCTGGGCAGATTGGAGCAAAGAGAACAAAGTCAAAGGCGGGTCAGTGGCGGACCGGGCTGCACTTTGAGCAGGATCGCTCAGTCATGCAAACCCCGTGTGCGCCATTTAACCCTCATAGTTGTGGTCACTGCTACTCTGTTCCTCTTCTCAATGTGGCTGCACTGGCTAAACTTCCTCTCTCTGCTTTTCATTATTATCTGTTCGGTTGGCCTGGTGAGTGTGGGTGACTTAGCCTAGCTTGCAGGGCCCTCAGGGATGAAGCTTTGACCCTCAAACTTCTGATAACAGTTGTCCCTAGACAGGGCCAGGCACCATAAGCAGACAAATCCTTGTGGACGGCTCTGCAGCCAGGACAGGCCGTGCACGCATGTCAGCATCTGGAATGAAAGCGAATCTCACACACGGGGAGCGACACCTAGACTGGAAACAGGTACTGGCTCTACCGGCACGACAAACAAGACAAAAGTTCTGTCAACTCAGGACAGAGACTCCATACACGACTGATGGAATCTGCAGCAGGTGACAGGCTCAGGTGACCAGAGAAGGTTGGGCCAATGAAGCATTTGCTTACCTGACCCAGCCTTGAAAGACGGCCGGATATACACACAGGTGCTGCAAACAGCCGCTGAGCTCGCTGGAGTCTGCTCAGTCGTTCTGAGCGGGCAGAGGAGAAACACAGCCAAGGGCTGTGGAGAAGGGGTGTGCCAATACTGACCTCTCACGTCCCCGCACACCTGCTTTGGAAACAGCAAACAATTATGGGTTCTACAGACATGGAGAGTGAGTTTTGTTTACTCCTCGGTGTGACTTCCACATCTAACCGAAATCCTGCCAGCCGCCTCTCCTCACTGCTGCTCAATTGGCAGACACAGTCACTGGGTTCTGAGTCTCTCCCATGGGTGGCCCTGGTGCAGCAGTGACCGCTTTCTCTTGATTGGGCACCCCAGCTCGGCCCCATCAACAGCAAGATGCCCTCTGTGATGGGAGAGCGGAGAAGACGAGGGAAGAGAGTTACAGAACCTTAGGTGGCTCACATTCTCCCTCCTTTGTCTAGGACCTTTGAGGGCTGGGCTCAGAACAAGGTGGCCTGGGAAGGGGGTGGGGCAGGGGGCTGTCCATGCAGAGCCACACCAGGGGAGGCTGTGAGCTGGGGCAGTGATGGGAGCCAGGTACAACACAGTGCCAGCCTCTCCTACCGTCCTGAGGAAATCATGTGCCGGTTTGGGTCTCCCAACGTGGAGCGGGACAAACCCATAGACAGTTGCTGATGGACTAAGGCTTGGGCAAGATGGATGCAAAAGGGAGCCACCAGGCATGCTCACAGCACCTCCAGTTGTCACCATTGTGTGATATGACATACATGACAGACAGGCAGTAGTCCCCTCCAGCAACAGAAAACGTTATGATACACCATGGCGGGTAGGATGACGGGCAACAGGACCCTTCAGCAAAGACACCGAGTTGATACGCAAAACCAGCGCGACAGGAGAGTGACTGGGTACCCAGACAGGCAGAGACCCGAGGCACAGAGGCGAGAGCTAGAAGGTATACAGGTCATGTAACTAGACGGCACATCCAGGTGGGAAGATCACTGCCCAACCTCAGGGCCACAGAGGAGAGGACAGGCAGATTAGCAGCCGTAAGCAGCGTCTAAGCTGGCTTCAGTGGGAGGGGAGGGGGGACCAGCATCATCCCAAGGGTGGCTGCGAAGTTGCCTGGATACCTGCAGCCTGGGGAGTCAGACTGGAGCTGAAACCCCATCCTTGATGCTAGGGCAGAGACATTTAAAGTATGGGGTCTCTTTACTCCTTTAACACCCCATGTTTCCTCCAGGTGCCTTCCTCCAGAGCTCCCATCTTTTCCCAGAGGGTCACCTGTGGCCCATGAGCCCCCACCCCTGGATGCCCCCTTTGATTTTCCAGTACTTTCCCAGAGAGGCTGCCGTCCCATGCCCTCTGACCTTCCCCCCCCCTAGAAGCCCTCTTACCTTCCCAGGGTTCCTGTATCTTCTACATTGACTTCCTTCTTCTCCTCCCCCAGGGGCTCTCACCCGCTGTGCAGACTTCTGTCCATTCTCTCCCCTCTCTCCCCAGGGCACTCCGTCTCCCTCCCAGATGTACCCTCCTCCTCAAGGTGCCCCCCTCCCAGTACCTTCTTTCCTCCTTGGGTACCTGAGGTAAACCCTGAGATTCCTTTGCTCAACTTCCAGGAGGGAGAGAGCACAGCCTGCTGGAGGCCGGTGGGGAGGCGTTAGGCGAACCAACTCTGGGGGTGACAGAGACCTCAGCCACATGCAAAATCTGCCACTTCTTCCCCTCACGCTGGCTTGCCAGAGTGGCCCTCCTCCAGCAGCGCCACATACCCAGTGTCTTCACCCTGGGGCTGTCCTCAGTTCTGCCAGCCTTCAGCCCTTCTGGGTGACCCGGAGCCCCGAATGCCGCAGCCCCTCTACCCCCACCCGGTTCCCAAGGCCCCTCCAGCCCAGGCCTACCTTCTGGGAACTGCTCCTGTACCTTCCTTCACCCTGCTTGTGGGCAGTGCTAGGCCTGGCAGGCTGCCAGGCTCTGCCCATCACCCCTCCCTTCTTCTGTAACTCAATCCCAGCTCCTGCCTTGCAGGACACACCCCAGAGATCTGTGCAGCAAGGACTGGGTATTCAGACTTAGTCAGTTGATAAATATTGACCAAGCCGTCTGGGAGCCAGCCCCCTTCCCATGGCCCGGTAGACTCAGCTCTTCGATACCAGTGGACAGGGAAGGAAAGGGTTGGAGGCCTGAGCTGGGCAGGAAAAACACTGATTTCTGTTCCTAGAAGCCCAAATGGGCAACTGCCCCCCAGGGGGAGGGGTCCTTATGGATTCAGGGGTTCAGGCCACTGTAGTGCAACTGTGATATCGAGGTCACTTTAGCAGGTGAAGGGAATGGCCGGGGCTGCCTCCTGGCATCTCCCAGTCCCCCACCTTCCATCTCGGGCTGGCTGCCCAACATAGCCCTCCCTGGGGAGCCTTGATACCCATCGTGGGAGAGGCAATGGAGTCCCGGCAGCAAAGAAATCTCTTCCACATGCTGGCTGCTCCTCTTACTCCTCCTGATTGTGGGGTATGAGAGTGCATAGCCCTCTGGATATGTCCACTGTGCTGGGCATATCTAACAGGTCCCGTCTCCGACCCGTGTCACAGACACTTGTGCAGTTCTATGTCTGGGTCGTAGTAGTCAAGGCGAACGCCCGTATATCTGTGAGTTGGGTTCCACCTCTGCACCGATCGCCTGTCCCTACCTCTTTGTGTCCCTGTGTCTCCTCTCCTTCCCATTTTATTTTTACCAGTCTGCTGGTCTCTGTTCCCATACTTCCACGTTGCCAGCGGCAGCTGGTTCTCACCGGCGTCCCTTCCTCTGTCTCCTTTGGGGTCTCGAAAGTCAGCAGGAGCACAGCTCAGGCCTCGGTCCCTCTCAGTTTTCTAATTTTCTTCCAAGTTCCGGGACCTCATTCTCATCCCCTGTCCCCACACCTAGATTCAGTATCCTTACTGAACCGGGCAGTCACATTGCTTCCTGCCTACCACCCTGCTCTGGAAGCCAGCTTTGACCAGTTGGTGACTTGAAGAAGATCCTCTGTGTCTTGGCCTCCCAGGCCCTACACAGCAGCCAGAGGGACTTGGAATTTTTTGTTACGTGTGTGTGTGTGTGTGTGTGTGTGTGTGTGTGTGCACCTACCATGGGATGTATATGGAGGTCAGAAGGTAACCTGTGCAGGCAGGTTCCCCCTTCTGTTATGTAAGTCCCAATGGACCAAACTCAAGTTATCTTGACAAGCATCTTTACCCATCCACTCAGCCATCTTGCAGTCCCTTTTGCTTCATTTTTTTCTAAAACAGGGTTCCATTTACCTCAGGCCAGCTCTAATCTCACTATGTAGCTGAGTATGACCCTGAGCTACTTACAGATCGTCCTCCTTCTACTGCTTAAAAACTGGGATCTCGCCTGGTGGTGGTGGCGCACGCCTTTAATCCCAGCACTTGGGAGGCAGAGGCAGGCGGATCTCTGTGAGTTCGAGACCAGCCTGGTCTACAAGAGCTAGTACCAGGACAGCCTCCAAAACCACAGAGAAACCCTGTCTTGAAAAACCAAAAAAACAAAACAAAACAAAACAAAAAAAAAAACAAAACAAAACAACAACAACAAAAAAAAACCTGGGATCTCAGGAGATCACCAGTACGCCTGGCTTGTTCTCTTCCTGCCTCCCTCCCTTTTTTCCTCCCTCCCTCCTTTCCTCTTCCCTCTCTTCCTCCTGCGTCCCTCCCTTCCTCCCTCTCTCCCTCCCTCATCCTTTCTTCCTACTTCCCTTCCTCCTTCCTTCTTTCCTTCCTGCCTCCTTCTTTTCTTCCTTCTTCTCTTCTCTTCTCTTTTCTTCTTCTTCTTCTTCTTCTTCTTCTTCTTCTTCTTCTTCTTCTTCTTCTTCTTCTTCTTCTCTCTCTCTCTCTCTCTCTCTCTCTCTCCCTCCTCCATATATAGCCCAGTTTGGTCTCATACTCATGTTGTGGGATACTCTTTTTGGACACCGTGAAGAAGTGTCTTTGCCAAGGCTCCTGCTGATTGGTTTAATAAGGAGCTGAATGGCCAATAGCTAGGCAGGAGAGGACAGGTGGGACTGTTGGGAAGAGATAAGAATTCTGGGGGAAAAAGAGGTGGGATTTGCCAGCCAGATGGGAGAAGTAACAAGCCATATGACAGAATATAGATTAATATAAATGGTTAATTTAAGTTATAAGAACTAGTTGGGAACAAGCCTAAGCTAAGACCAAACTTTCATAATTAATAAGAAATCTATGTGTCATTATTTGGGAGCTGGGCCTGTTACATACTTGCGGCAATCCTGCTTCAGCCTCAGAATGCTGATTACGGGACTGTGTGCCAGGAAGTCTGCCTTTGAGGCTCCTCCCATAGTTTTATAAAAATACAACCATGCCTTGATATCTGTAAGAAGACTATGCTCTCCGGGATATCCAAACCAAAGGCTGCTTAAGCACTTCATACAAGATGATGAGCTAGTATTGACACACAGCCCCCACCCCTTCCCTACACTTAATCAATCATGTCTAGGTCACTTGTAACACTTAAAACAGTGTAACACTGTGCACAGTTGTCACACCCGGGGACAGACGAGAAAAGCAGTCTAAACATGTTTAGTAATCATAGCCTTCCCTCAAGTCTTCTTATTCAAGTTAGTCAAATCCAGAGCTGCGAAACCTGCATATCTAGAAAGCTAACTGAACACATCAAACCTGTCATTCTATTGGACTAGTGAGTGTGGCGGTGGGCTTGGGAGGTGGTTGGTGGATGAGTAGGGGCTAAATATCATCGACATACATTGTATACTTGAATGAAATCTTCCTTCCTTCCTTCCTTCCTTCCTTCCTTCCTTCCTTCCTTCTTTCTTTCTTTCTTTCTTTCTTTCTTTCTTTCTTTCTTGGTTTTTCGAGACAGGGTTTCTCTGTAGCTTTGGAGCCTGTCCTGGAACTAGCTCTTGCAAACCAGGCTGGCCTCGAACTCACAGATCCACCTGCCTCTGCCTCCCGAGTGCTGGAATTAAAGGCGTGCACCACCACTGCCTGGCTTTGAATGAAATCTTAAGCAACACATTACATTAACATTTTTATTATTTTTTAAAACCATCCTAGGGCATAGAGGCACCTGTCTATAATCACAGCACTGGGGAGGTAGAGGCAGGAAGATTGCAAGTTCCAGGTCAGTGTGGGCTACGCAGGATCCTGTCTCATAAAACAAAAGAAAAATATTTACCACACTCCAACAATCACAATCAAGGGCTGCTTAAGCCCCTCCTGCAAGACGATGAGCTAGTGTTGGTCCACAGCCCCCACACCCTCCTTTATACCATCTGTATCTAGGTCATGGCTTAGTTTTGCTGTTGTTTCCTCTTGAAACAGATTCTTAGTACATCAACCAGGCTGACCTCCAACTCACAGAGGTCTGCCGGCCTCTCCTTCCTGCGTGCTGGGATTAAAGGCGTGTGCCACCACCACCCGGTCACCCTACACTTTTAAGTGTACAATTCTGTGGTATGGGGACACTGACCATCACCACCATCCATTCATATCTCTACCTCTCCCGCTTCCCAAAGAGAAACTTTACGTGGCCGAGGAGATTGCCCAGTGGGTAGAACACTCACTGCAGAAACTGAAGAACTGAATTTGGATTCCTGGTATCCACGTAAAGGCCGAGTGTGCTGCACACACCTGTAGCCCAGCACTAAGACTGGGGGTGCAGTGGGGTGTCTGTGACAAGATCCTAGGTGATCTCTGGGCTCAGTGAGAGATTCTGTCTCAAAGAATAAGGTGGAGCCATGATTGAGGAGAACATCCAGATGTCAGTCTCTGGCCTCTGCGAGGGAAGCTACACCTGTGTACATGTCACTCCTCTGTTCCCCCAGATGGACACAGACAGACAGACACACACACGGAGAATCAAAACTGGAGCTTACACTCTATAAATTCTGAATACTCATTGAGCAACACTCCCTACGCCCCCTCCACCATCGCACCTTCTGTTCCCATGATCTTGATCAGCTACAGGGAGGCATCTCACCCAAACCTCTTAACCCCTTCCTGCTGTCCCCAAGCCTCCGATGCTAGAGCAAGAATGAGGCCCGTTACCTGGACCTCCCTCCAGTTGCACATCTGGGCGCTCCTCCACGATTCATGATTTCTAGCTGTGTGGGGCTTTCCGTAGCTCGAAGGCACCCAACACATTCTGTTCTCAATTTCTGCACACCGCTTATCTGCCCGGTGTCTTTTCCCCGGGGCCCGCCAGCCTCCCCTGAATCTAACGTGACTGCCCACGGGGAAGCAGTTTCCTGATCCAGCCATTTCTTGCTTCCTGCTTCATGCCCTCCACTGGAACTCGGTTGGTTGGGTCCTTCTCCGGGACTTGTGGGCCCAGGTAGAATGTGGGCCCCTTGAGGGCAAGGCCCCGTCAGTGCTGTGCCTTTAAGGATGACAGCTGATGGCAACAGCAGTTAGTCAGATAGTGTGCTGCTGTGATTTGTCCCATGGTGTGTGTGTGTGTGTGTGTGTGTGTGTGTGTGTGTGTGTGTGCAAGCAGGCATGTGTTCTATATGGAACCAGGGCACGGAGTTCTCTCCACAGTTGCTCTCTGCCCTACTCTGGCACCCCCTGATGAGAGACCTCAGGCTCTCTCTCTCTCTCTGAACTGACATTTCTTTTCCAGGGGGTGATACCCCTCCAACCTCCAGTTTGGGAAAGATGCCCCCATTTATTGCAATCCAGCCCCAGAAGCTTAATGGTAGACACAAAGCTCCTCCAAAAGTTCTCAAAATTCTCTGTGGCAAAACCACCCCACCCCTCACGTGCCCATCCCCATCCCCGAACCCTTGACCCGTGGTTGCAGAACCTGGAGATGTGCAGGCAGACTAGGACCTGACTCTTGGTGTCTGGCTTGGGTCATCTCGTGGCCATTACACCTATGACGAGAGAGAGAGAGGGAGGGAGGGAGGGAGGGAGGGAGGGAGAGAGAGAGAGAGAGAGAGAGAGAGAGAGAGAGAGAGAGAGAGAGTGAGANGGGGGGGGAGAGAGAGAGAGAGAGAGAGAGAGAGAGAGAGAGAGAGAGAGAGAGACTGAGACCAGGGGTGGGCTCAGTTACTTCAATACCGAGGGCTGAGGGACAGGGTACTCATTCTTTCTCTCCTTCCCCAGAGCAAGAAAGAGGTTCTGGTTCATTTTCTTTGCTTGGTCACCCCTCCCCTGTGGACATACCCACCCTAATCCTTAGCTGTTAGTTTGGAGTCTGATGAGCTGGGCTTGCCTGGCTGTGCTCTCTGCTAAGTTCCTCATCCCACTGACTTCTGGCCCAATTGGCTCTGCACCCCCAACCCGTGGGTTTCCAGGGATTTGGGGCTCTATGTTCTTGCCAGCTTATCTCCAGGGCCCTACCTTCTTCGTGTCAATATTGACCTAGTGAGGGAGTAGCGGTAGGCCCCACCCCACAGCCCCAGGTGATCTCTGCTTAGTCTCCCCAGGCTGGTGTGCAATCTCCCTGCAGGGGGAGGACAGAGGCATGGGAAGGGTCATGTGACTCTAGCCTTGCTAACAACTTGGAGCACTTGGGGATCCTCCAGTTCTTGTCCCTTCCACTCCGACCTCTGTGACTGCTGGGTCCTCACATTTGGCTGCAGGACAAGGAAATAGAAATGACTCAACCCCCAAGGCAGGAATTCCCGGAGAATCAGGTCCTGTGGGTGTCAGGGGACTGTAAGGTACTCAGGGCAGATGAATCACTGGCCTCTCCAAGTGCAAGCTGCCTCACGGAGTCTTCTCGGAGCAGTGAAGGGGAGTGTGTCCGCGAGTACATAGCTAGGACACAGCTTGGGGCAGAGCACGGTCCCACCCTTGATGCAGGAGAGTGAATAGCTGTGTCCTGCTCCCGGCAGGTGAACTGGGCTCCCATTCACTTGACCTAGCCAAGGTTTACAAAAAAATATTTTAATTTTACCTGTATGGTGTGAAGGCCTGCATATGTGTCTCTGTGTCATGTATGTGCCTGGTACCCACAGGGGCCAGAAGAGGGCACTGGACCCCTCAAACAGGAGTTATAGGGTGTGACCACCTGATAAGGGGGCTGGGAAGTGCTCCCACATCCGTCAGAGCAACAGAGCTCTTAACTGCTGAGCCATCGCTCCAGACGCTCAACCAGGATTCTCAGCTAGCATAGATGATGCTCTGGCCATGGAAAGGCTCCCAGCACCCAGGGAGGACTTCCTGTGCTTTTCTAGGTTCCCTTTTAGCAGTGAACACGTATAAAGCATCTCACAAAGAAAGCTGTATGGCAACTCCCAAAACCCTGCACATGGCAGCTGCGCTGTGTGGGTACCAGGCCTGGGACAGTTTGGGGGCAAATTTCCCACTCCTCTGTAGCCGGCCAGCTGTTCCCAGCCCTGACTACATATTCTAGTCACTTTGTATTTGAAAGAAGGCTCCCCTTCTGAGAGGTCAGAGTCAAAGTGCCCAGGTAGCTTTGAAGAGCCTAGCCCTTTCCTTCTGTAGACGTATTGGGGTGTATGAGCATGTTTGTGTTTTCCATTTGTAGGCGCACGTGTACACATGCATGTGGGAGATTGGAATGTCATCCTCAGGATGCTGTCTACCGCCTTTGGTCAAGGTCTCTCATTGGCCTAGAGTTTACCATTTAGGTAGGCTAGGCTGGACTTCCAGGGAGTCCCAGCAATCCGCCAGGCTCTGCTGCCCTAGGTCTAGGATTGGAAGGGCATGCCACCACTCCTGGCATTTAAGGGACTGAACTCAGGCACTTACGCTTGCTTTAGAAGCTTGTATCCTATGTAGGAGCTGAGGCTTCAATTTCGGGGCCTTATGATTCAGCAAGCAGTCTCGTCACCCACCGAGCTGCCACCCTTCAGGTACCTTTAAGAGCGTCCAGGCGATGTGTGTGTGTGTGTGTGTGTGTGTGTGTGTGTGTGTGCGCGTGTGTGGCAGTGTTGAGGAATGCACTCAAGCTACAACATGGGATACGATGGGGTTTTGTTTGGAAAGCTTAGGGGCCTGTATGCCTCTGTCTCATAGCCTGAGGGTCCAGCCTGTTCTGGGGTTAGCTTGATGCCTCACTAGTTAGAGGTTCTGGGCTTCGAGCATCCTGTTCTGGATACTACAGGGACCCTGACCACAGTCCACAGGCACTTCCTGTCCATCTCACCGACTGCCAGCTAGCCTTCTGTCACTCCCAGGCTGTCCTTACCTCTGCCCCGTTCTTCCCATTCTTCCCGTCACAACTAGAAAAGGGCAGGGCACATTTCAGGGAACCTGAGTCCCAGTTTAGTGTCCTCTTTGTAACTGTCTTCTCTCCACCTGCCTGGGCACTCAGTAGGCAGACACAAGCCTGTGTTTGTGGGGTGTAAAACAGCAGAGGATGTGGGAGCAGAGAGGACTGGGGAGCAGACTGAAGCAAAGGACGGGGGGGGGCACGCTGAAGTCAGAGTCAGGCTAAGGCAAAGTGACCCTGTCTGGCTGGGCAGATCTGCTGGGACGGGAAGATACCCAGGACCTGTGGGGGCGATGTGGTACTCAGGGCTCTATCTCCATCCCAAGGGCTGGTAGGGCTGGAGTCCTTATGCGAGGATGGAGTCATGCCCCTGTCTGGGGAAAGAGGGCCAGACAGCTGAGCAGCTGCCCCTTTTCAAGTTATAAGCAATTTGAGTTGGATGGTTTTCTTACCCGAGGTGTCAGGAACTCTGGCACTGAGTGCTGTGGCCCGGCTCCCATCCACCCTGCTCTGTAGAAGTGAGAACGACTTCAAGACCCACGGTGTCCACAGAAGGGTGTGGTGTGCAGGGAAGGAAAAAAATAAACATAAAAAACCCCACAACAGGCCATACCTCTGGAGAAGCAGGTCAACCATGAGACAGTGCAGTTTCATGAGTTTATTTTTGGCAGGAGGGAAATCACTGATTGACAACACTTGTCCCCAGAATCGTGCATGTTCCACATGTAGTATTTCCCAAGCAGCGCCGGATCATCACAAGCATCCAGCAGAAAACCGTACCCCCCCAGACGCCAGCATCACGACTGCTGGGGTGTCCATCTGCAGGGCGGCTCTAGGGACAGACACGGTCAGATACACAGTGACACAGGAGCAGAGGCAGCCAGCAAGTTTGCGCAGGGGAGGCCATTCGCTCTTCTCAACCGCTGGCGTGCCAGCTGTCCAGCACAGCACCATGAGAAGCAGAGGCACACACGTCACGAGTGTTTGACCAATAGGGCTGTGTGTTTCCGGATTTTATTAGAAACCAGGGTAGTAAAAATGCTGCCAGGCTATACACACGTCCAGGTTTCATTTCGTACCCCAACTTCAAATGCTGTAACCATGACAAGTTAGTGTCATTTGGACATTCTCATGTCCCCAATCCCATCGACGTTGCGCCGCGTCAAAGGAATCCCCACCAACTGCCGTGAGCAACAGGCGGTATTATTAGGGCACAAACACATTGTTTACAAACAGCTAGTGCGTGAAACCACAGACCAACATGGAGGATTCAAGAACGAATGGAAGACAGAACACTAACATCATCTGGGGTCGGGGTGCCCAGGAAACCCCCATTTGAGGTCATGCAAAAGGCGTAGGCTGGAGTCCAAAATCCCAAGCCTCCTGTCCCAGACCTTCACGTGGAAAGCACATGTCTAGGAGAGTGGTCCGAACGTGGAGTTGAGAGGATCATGGAACTTGGGAGGTCAGCTGTTTCTTTTGGCTAAGGAGGTGGAGTGTTTTGGTAACGTGGGGGAGGATATGGCACACAGAAGTGGCTGATATATTTTCAAGCCCACACTTTTAATAAACTAACAATCAAAAGCAATACCCGTATTTACCTTAAGAAAATAAACCTCACACATTCGTCTCCTTTCTTGGCCTTGTTAGAATTCTATTGCTTCATTTACAAGTAACTGATTAAAAAATATAGATTTTTTTCAATTATGTACATAAAGCAGATTTTTTTTAAAGAAAGAAAAATTGGCATTTTGGAGCTTGGTCAAATAAGGTGCGGATTTCAGAAGCCTCAGAGGCCCTGCCACGCACCCGAGACATCCCATGTTTGCGGTGGTAGGAACAGGGCTCCCCACCCGGTACCTCAAGGGCAGGGCCACGCGCAGCTCCAGAACTCGAACCTGTCTGAAGTGGAGCACTGTTTCTAGGCTCACTTCCCCTGAAATGTTCTGGAATTTCAGTCCATTCTGCCCCCTTTTCCAAACTGAGGCCCGTGACACCGGTACAGCAAGAGGCGCAGGTGACGGACGATCTGAGGTTCTCATCCGGGCCTCGTTCTGCATGGAAATCAATACGCGGCAGACACTGCAACACCCAAGACACTTAAGGCAGCGGGATCGGCTAAGGAGGACTGGTTTCCGTGAGGACTTATGGCATATGTGGATTGGCCACGGAACTTGTTATCTGTGGTGATGCTTCGTAAAGGGGCAGTTTCTGTTGTAATTGGCACAGGGATTGCTGGGTTCAGAACACTCAGAAAGTCAGGAGATCTGATGATCCCTCTGTATTTCTGCTCTGAATGCACAGTGGTTTCCCAGACCAAAGCACTGTGGGAAGGTAGGCCAGGTAGCTGGCTTCATTATTTTGTGAAAGGAAAAAAAAATTTTTTTTTTAAGTTTGACCCCTGATTTTGAGTCTTGTTAGTGCCAGCAACTCCCAGCAGAAATCTGGCTGAGGCCCAACCCAGAGGACTAAGGCAACGGTGCCAACGCGAAAAGGGCTCTTTTCATTCTCAGGGGAGAGACGCTAACACAGCACTGCTGAACACCCAACAGGGAATGGCTGGAAAGAGACTCCATTCAGACAGGCTTCCCCAACCCTTGGCTCGAAGAGGCTGTGCTTCCAAAGAGGCTGAGATGGACTTGGGCCACATGGAGGTGGCGGCTGGTCGAGGCCACAGGTTCTCAGGCGAGACGGGGAGCTCTTCCACAGGCTCTGATGTTGGCTGCGGTGGGGAGTGGACGCCACACCTGAGCGCTGCTCTGGCCCTTTATTATTTATTAAGTTGTTTATTTAAAAAACCCCTTTGTGCCCTTCGGCATTCTTGGTGGCCAGGGCCAAGGAAGGGAGACGGTTGGTGCCGTGCTTGATGGGGGCGGGCGGGACACCTGTTTCTGACCCTGTCCAAGCCTGCAATGTAGCGGTGAGCGAATTCTGAGCATAGGCACAGTGGCAAAGAACAGTGTAACAGCCGCTGGTCAGTTCCATTTGGTGGCAGCGCGGTAGCAGCAAGTCCCACACAGCTCCACGTGTACCCAGCTTTCGGAAGGAAAGACTTGGCAGTCCAAGGGTTTTAGGGTTTTCTGTGACTACTCTCCTCAAACCATTGACAACAGGGAAACCACACGGGACAGACGTGTGACCGTTGTGGGAAAGCAGATGTGACCCTAACGTCACCGTTCAAGGGGAAAATGCAACCTCAAGACAAATTTTATCAACATCGGAAATCGTGATAAAAGGGACTGGTTGCTTCATAAAGCATGGGGCCGTGGGCAGGTACATTCTGGACGGGCCAGAAACGGGTGGGGACTACGAGCGTCACACGCCACAGGCTGACATTCGCACCTGTTGGGAGGCAGGCTCCCATGACCGCTTTCTCCCTGGCCCTACCCTCACCCCACCACACACAGGCTCCCAGGTTCTAGAAAACTCTCCTGTTTGTCGTCTTAGCGTATCGAAGACAGTAAAAGACTAAAAGATGTCTGGAAATAGGTCGTATACAAAAGTAACTCTCAGCTTAAAATAACATTCAAAAAGGCACTTCACCCTGTAGGAAAAAGGTTCTGAGCTGGGTCAGCTGCCCCAACCCGGACAAAGGGGACGGGCTGTCTCTTGGGAGGGAGGACAGTTGAAAGGGCGTCTGAAAGAGACCAAGGTTTCTTTTTTTTCCTTTTTTTTTTCTTTTTGGTATGTTCTAAGAAAATCGAATCTGGTAAAATGCATGTCCTTTTATGAAATCTATTAAAAGAGTTTTTTTTCCGTTAAAATAGTTGTTTCTGTTCTTTAAAAAAGAAAAAAAAAAACAAACCCAAAACGAAACAGGTAGGCAATGGCGACATTCACCCTGTGACCCGGAGCATGGAGTTGGCTCATGCTCCACTCAGAAAGCTGAGGCCGGGAGGGTCCCCTGAGCCAGGGGCTCCAGAGTGCACAGGTGGGGACGGGCTGTGGCCCCGAGGCCCCGAGGCGGGGGCTACCTGCTGCAGAGTCTGTGCAGCATGCCATACACATCGTCCTCCCTGCTCAGGCCCTCGAAGAACGGGATGAGGTCCAGCAGCTCCGTGTCCGTCATGTCATCGAACCAGGACTGCACAGGCACCTGCAAGACAGCGTGTCGGGACCAAGGGTGACACCGTCACCGTCGTCCCTTGTTTGCTCCCGAGCACCAAGAGCAGCTGGTCCAAAGTCAGGGGTAGGGGGCGGCTCAGTGAGGCAGACGTCCCCAGGGTGTGTGAGCGAGCCCCAGTGAGTGCTCCCGCTGAACAGAAGATGCCCATTTCCAAAGCTCTTTATGGCACTGCACTGGCCCGCTGTCATGGGAGCCCTGGATGCCACTCCTAGGTTACCTGACAACCACCAACCACAGAGCCCAGTCCAGGCACACCGGTCCAGACTCTACTTAGGGCCAGTGCTTTAAGCTGTGTGCCAAAGAGAAGCAGAGAGTTCCTGCCCAACCAGGCAAACATGGAAATGTCGAATTTGAGGGCATTCGGAAGATCCGGCAAAAAGAGAGTTCCCTTTAGTTCTCCATAGAGGAGGAGGGAGAGGTGGGAGCGGAGAGAAGCTTGGAGTTCCAAGAAGAGAATAAAAACACAAAAGGTATACAAAAGGTATTTATTTACTTACTTTCAGTCCTGGGATTGAACCCAGAGCCTCCTTCATGCTAGGTTCATGTCAACAGCACTCCCTGTGACATATTCTTGTTAGAAAAGGAAAAAGAGGGGGCTGGAGAGATGCCTCAGTCCTTAGGACACCTTGCTGCTCTCCCAAAGGGCCCGAGTTTGGTTCCCAGCACCCACACGAGGTGACTCATGACCGCTTGTAACTTCAGCTCCGGGGATCCAGTGCTCTCTCCTGACTTCTATGGGTACTGCATGCATGCAACACACATGCACAGATGCAAATAAAAACAAAATAAGCTCTTTAAAACATTACAAAGAGAGGCTAGAGAGATGGTTTGGTGGCTAAGGGCAGCACCATGTACTGCTCTTGCAGAGGACCTGAGTTCAGTTCCCAGCACCCACATCAGGCAGCTCACAGCCACCGGTAACTCCAGCTCCAGAGGATCTGATGCCCTCTTCTGGCCTCCGCAGGTACTACACTCATGTGCATATTCTCTCTTATACATTCAAACAGGTAATTAAAAATAAAACTACAAAAAGGAAAACATTTAAAAGAAGCCCGAGTCTAATCAAATAGCAAATAGAAAGTCTAACTGCTTGCCTGAAGGAGGAAAGGCGGCTAAAAAACATTAATTACTAACAGCCATTAAATCCAGAATATAGAAAATTCCCTTAAGACAACTTAGTAAACTTTCCACAAATAAATGACAGAGAAGAAACAATGTGGAGAGAAGAAATGCTTAGAACGGAGACACATTAAATGAAGCAATGCAGGGACCTTCTTTGGATCCTGACTTAACCAATTCACATCCCAGAAAACACGTCAAGATGGCAACATGAACAATGTATACGGTAGCTAATACCGTGTGGCCGTGTGGAAGGGAACGGTGGCAGCGGCGGACACAGCCCCATCTGCTGGAGACAGCGGCCAGGTGCACTAGGTGGAATTGGATTGACTCGTTAACATGAATCTCTTTACTCATTTAAAGGGACTCAGTATGTGGGCCAGGCTGGCCCTGAACTCACCCGAGTGCTGGGATCAAAGGCGGGCACCGGCACACCCGGCAATGTGAACATATTTAACTGTGAGGCAGTAGTTTGATGGCTTATTCTTACCTTTCAGCTGAATATGGTCATGTCCCCCTTATAATAGTAGAGACATACAATTCTAGACTTAAAAAGGGACATAAGGCCTTGGTGGCACACGCCTTTAACCCCAGCACTCGGGAGGCAGAGGCAGGCGGATCTCTGTGAGTTCCAGGCCAGCCTGGTCTACACAGTCTCACCAGAGCCCCCCCTTGCACAGATGTTCAGAGTGGGTTCTGATTGGCAGGCGCCTGAGCGGCAGGCCAGAGGCAGACACAGCTTCCCAGCCTGTTCTCTGGACTACTTACTGCATTCTCCGGATGGAAGATGTAGGAGGCGGGAGAATTGTCCACGATGATCACTTTGCTCAGCTCCCGTCCCAGGCGACTCAGGTCCTTCACATAGTTCCCACGATGGAAAACACAGGATTCTCTGAAGAGTCGCGCCCGGAACACGCCCCAGCGGTCCAGGAGGTCGGCCACAGGGTCTGCATACTGGAAACAAGAGTCTCTATGAAGCTGGAAGAGCCAGAAATCCACCTAGGACACCAGCACACACGACCCCTTTCAGCGGGGAGGTAGGGAGGTTAAGGTATCTTCCATGTAGCAGCCCAGGATAGGTTCCTCCTGTGCCACCATCTCCCGTGTGCCGAGATCACAGGCATGAGTCATGACATCAGGCCGGACTTTTTGTTTGGTGTATTTTATTAGATTTGGAAAGAAAAACCCCAGGTCTGGCAAGCTGTAAATTTTGGCAGCTGTCCAGAGGAGACTAGAGGAAATCATGTTAAGAAAAAAAAAAGTCACACAGAGGCAGGCAGCTGCATGGCAGGTGGGGTGAGGGTGGGGGAAACCTTAGAGAGAAGACAGGCGGCCCTAAGTGTCAGGGGAGGAGGGAGAAGGAGGGAAAGGCCTGCTCTTCTGAGTAATTCAGAAAAGTAGACAGCGTTACGAAGTGCAGATCCATGGCCCCGTAAGAAACTGCCTAGACTACTCCTTGTCTTGGTTGTGTGCGTGTACAGGTGTGCATGGACACATGCGGTCACCGTCGGTGTCTTTCTCTATTGTCCCTGACCTTGCTTTTTGAGTCAGGGTCTCTCCCTGTACCTGCAGCACCCAGTTCAGTCAGACTGGCTGGCTAGTAGCCCCAGGAACCCCGTGTCTCTGCCTCCTCCGTGCTGGACCTGCAAGGGCCACGCCGGCTGCCACGCCCGGTTCTTTGCATTCTAGGGAAGTGTGAGCAACACTTTACCTACTGAGACACCTTCCCAGTTTCTCGGACTTACTTTCAATTTTTTTACTTAAAAATCATTTCGTTGCTGCTATGTTCACGTGCACAAGTGCACAATGACGTGGAGGTCCAGAGGTCACCTTTCTGGAACCATTTTCCCTCATTGCCAGACTTGCATGGCAGGTGCCCTGACCCACAGAACCATCTCATCAGCCTCTTAGGCCGCTTGTGAAAGAAGGACCGAATAGCTGGAGGTATTTTAGGACTGTGGTATTTCCCTCTCCGTGTATATCAGAGAGCACTGCATTCTTACAGGTCTCTCCCATCGAATCCGTCAGCAGTTCCTGTCAGTTTCATCTCCAAAAATAGTTTGACTCCCACCTTCATTTCTTTAGATCTAAGGCATCTTCCTGGACGAGTTCTCCCGGCCTGGGAAGCTCCTGTTTCCTGCTAGCCCTCCCCTCCCAGCTCATTGGCCACTGAAGGGCACGCAGCGTATCCTACCGCTGCCCTGATTTAAATTCCCAGTGTTGGCCTACTGTCTTCAGAGTCAGTACAGGGCACACGGCACATCCCATTGCTGCCCTGTCCCTCAGGCCTCACTCGAGGCCTGGATTTACCAGCAAGACCAAAGTGAGGCCCACAGCCAGGGCTTGCAGCCCTTCCAGGGAGGGAGCGAACACCTGAGGCTGAGTCACCAAGGCCGGAGTAGATGCGCTGCAGCTGGGTCCGTGGGAAAGTCCTTTTCATTCCCAGGACATCCCGAGTGGGGCAGAGTCCAGGAGCAGCTGCATTTCCCACTGACCAAGCAGCTCAGAGCACTATTTGGATGAAGCTGCCTAAGGGGCGTGTGAGCGCTCTACAAAGGGTTGCCTCGCATGAAAAAGGATGGATCATTTTCTCCTCATCGCTACCACCAGAAGTGGCGATCATCCCTTAAATGTTTTTAAAGATTGTTTTTTTTTAAGGTTGGTTTGCTTTTATGTATGTTTTGCTTGCATGTATGTATGTATGGGCACCCCGTATGTGTGCAGGGTCCACAGGATCCAGGAGAAGGCATTGGATCCTCTGAAACTGGAGTTAGGGACAGTTGTGAGCTCCCATGTGAGTGCTGGGAACTGAGCTTAGGTACTCTGCAAGAGCAGCCAGTGCTGAGCCATCTCTCCAGTCCTGCCAATCCCCTTTTAGGGAAGTGTCTGGGGGTCTCCAGGCTTGCAAGATTAGGATGAAGCCTACAGGTGCCCGAGGCAGGGGCACAATCTCTTCTCTTCTGTGTCCTTGGTGCCCTATCACGTGTGGAGGGAGAATGAACGACAGGATGTACGACAAGTCGCAGATACCGTGGAGTCTGGGAGGCGGTGGGCTGCGCCTGCAGGCCCTGGCAGGAGGCGGTGGGCTGCGCCCGCAGGCCCTGGCAGGAGGCAGGAAGATTCACTGTATAGATGCAGCAGGCCGGGCGCTGAGCTAAACTCATCATAGAGAGCTAGAACCCCGACCGCACATTGTTACAACTTGGCCATCGGGGTCGAAAAGGCTACAAGGCTGCACTAGGGACTGGGTCTGGCTCTGCAGGGCAAGAATAACACTGAAATAGGGCTAGGAAAACAGATGGTGGGGCAGGCGGGAGCAGCCCAGGAAGAGCGGCCCAAACAAGGGTGTTTAGGGGAACGCTGGGGACAATGCCAGGGAAGAGTGTTTTCAATCTCACCGAGGAAAAACAAGCCCCAGCCCAGCGCGCTGGTGCAATCCTTGCCTTGCTATTGGGCTGTTTATTACTCCAGGTTCTTTAGCATCCCTGAGCAGCATCAGAGGGACCATTGAGGCTGCGCACACAATTTGTCTTGGCACCACTGGGGAAGACTGTTTCCTTGAGGTCATGCTCTGTTTTCTGTACAAGTGAACAAAGCCCACATGTGGGATCTCTCCTCAGCAGCTCGCGGCGAGGCCAGCTGATGAGGCTGGCGGTGTGCTCGATAGGTGGCCCTTGCCTTGGCCAGCATGGAGAACACACCCAGATGGGAATGCCCCAGCCAGCGGTGCAGTGCTGAGGACCCGAGGTCATAAGTTCAACAGGTAGAAGAATGTGGGTGCTGTCTAGGCAGGCCACGAAGGAGGAGGCTGCTGGTGGCTCCCAGAGGAGTTCTGCACACAAAAGGTTAATTTGCATGCCACAGAGCTCATCTTTGGGGCTGTTCAGAGTTTCTGAGGTGCTCATGGAGACACTGTGGATGCTACCAAGTGGATTACGTGACTCTGTGAGACTCATGGTGGGCAGACCTCGGAGGAGCCGGGGGCCTGCCCTCCCTACCCACAGCATGGTACCAATGAGCCCTGTCACCAACATGTACGATCCTATATACTGAACGTCAGGAATGCTTACCCTGTGACAGTACCCAGAGCAGTGCACAAAAGATGGCAGGGGCTCAAGGAACGACTGCCTAATAGGAGCTGGGAGCTGTGCTTAAGCCTCCACGCGGGCGACTTCATTTAATCCACTCCATCGAGCAGATGGAATTAGACCCAATTAGACAGGAGGAAACCGAGGTGTCGCCAGAAAGCAGGCAGCTCCTTAAGCCAGTCAGAACGTTCATCAGCCCATGCCTGCAAGGGACACTTGATACCTGTCTCTACTCGTTCCTCCCCCAGACCTGTGGCCACTAAACCCAGGGACACAGAGACCTCTAACATCCGGCTGGTGAGGGATCTCCACCTGTGCTGGGCAGCCACCTTCTGCAGTCACAATGGACAGGTCTTGTGATTTCGTCTGTGGATAACTGGTTTCAGGTGGCTGCATACAACAACTTTCATGGAGCATTTGTTCTAAATACTCCCTCCCTGTCACCATGGTAACCAGAAGCCTTTCAGCCTGGCAGTATGCACATGGCCTGCATCCATCCCATCTGGGGTGGGAACCTGTCACCTCAAAAATAGCTTCCTCCACCTTAACAAAAGGCTCTTGGCAGCTTGGGGGGGGTTGGTGGAGGAAGGAGGGGTTGGGGCAATGGCTGGGAGTCTGCGGGGGGGGGGGGCGGGGCGGGGAGCAGGACGCACCTTGGCCAAACTGGCAGTAAAGAGCACACACTCGAAGAGCTGCCCCATCCTCTGGAGGAACTCGTCCACGTGTGGGCGCTTCAGCACATACACCTGCAACGGGAGGAGACACAGGCATCAGCCACACAGCAGCTGGACAGCCTGGGCATCCAGAGCTGCCCCAGGGGGGCCTCTTCCTGCTGCCAGGTTTGGACTGGAGAGCTGGATGTAGGTGCCAGGTATGCCAGCAGACACCCCTCACAAGGAGAAAGGGAAGCTGACCACGGTGCCGAGGGCCTTATGGCATCAGAACTAGCAGGTGGGGCACAGCTGTGCTGTGTTCAGGTGAAGCCGCTCATTCATCCCATGTGGTTTTTGACACTGTGAGTCAGTCCTATGTGGACGCAGGCCACAGCCTATGTGCCGTGCTTTTGGAAGTCGAGGGTTAGTTGCTGCCTTCTACTCTGAATGTCCCCCTCACCCCCCACCCCATAAAAAGGCCCAGGGGCTAAGATGCTTGGAGATTTTCTGCTCAATACCATGGAGGTTACTCTGCTTATGTGGGAACACAGAAAGTATTCCAGAGTGGCAAGGGGCATCTCTTTCCCACAGTCGGGCCACACAGGACCACAAGGCTCCTGTCTCTGGAGGTGAAGTGAGTCTCGGGGAACTGGGAGAAGAGAAAGAAAGAAAACCCAGGGAGAAGAAGTGGGAAGAGGGAGGACCCGATTAAAACTTGAATAAATTCCACTTAAGTTAGCCTATCTCTTTAAAAACACAACGTATTTACTAGGCCACAGCGCTTTGCTGGGTACTGCTCCAAGGCTGAATGGGATGGATATAGGCCTGCCCCTGCCAGGCTCACAGCCTTGAACATACACTCACAGAAATTAGCGAATACAACACCCATCACGGGGCAGGGGGTGGGTGGGGCGGAGCAGGGCGGTGGGGGTGGCATCTACATTAAAGACAGTTCTCCTTTCCAGAGGAGGGAGTCACAGAGAATCACATCTGGCCTTGACCTTGAAGGATCAATAGGAGTTCTCACACTGAGCAACGGAATCAAGCTTCTGGGCTGAGCAAAGTGTGAACACAACGCAGGACCCGGATGCTTGACAACACGCTTGGTGTTGGGCTGAAGCCCGTGCGCCCAGCCAATCATAGGCAGCCAGAGAATGTGAGGCTGTGCCAGGGAGGAGCAGCTGCAGGTGAAGAATTGGGTGGCAGTAAGTACATAGAGCAAGAGCGAGAGCAAGCGAGAGAGAGAGAGAGAGAGAGAGAGAGAGAGAGAGAGAGAGAGAGAGAGGAAGGCAGGCTCTGGAGAGGGAGGCACAGGGCTCTGCACCACCTGTGAGAAGACCTTGCCGGTGACGACATTCCCACGTGGAAACACCTGCTTCGCCGCACCCCAGAAAAAGGTGCTGTGCCGGTCAACGGCTAGGTGGGAGAGCGCCCACCCTGCTAGCTGAAAGAGTGGGTCTGGGGCCTGGTTCTGCGGTTGGGGGTCGAGGGAGGGGCCGGAGGGAAGGGAGACTGAGTACCAATAGGACCCTGCTGAGCTGGGGTGGGGGCTTGGGCTGAGGATAGAGCTGTGGCTGCAGCAGCCGCAGGACCCCCTTCGCTCGCAACACTCCTTGGTCCTGGTGCCAGGGACTGGGTGTGGCCTCCCGTCCTGTGTCCCTGGGAGGAATGCTTGGACAGCACGCTTGGCTACGTGCAAAGAGCTGGAGACTGGCAGGGAACTCTGATGTTGGCGCCTTTGGCAGAAAGGAGGGTCCTGGGCCCGGATGCCGGCGTCCAGGCCCGCGTCCCCGTGCAAGTAACCAAGAATAGGCCCCTTGGGACCTGCACAGCCTATCCTGGATTACTTGAACGAGGCCACGGTCTTCGCCAGGGCCTTGGTCCTCTTGCTTTAGCACCTGTGGCTTCCTCCCTTTAGGAGTCTCTAATCCCAGCCCCGGCGTGTCTAGGGTCAAAGAGAAGGGGCTGGGGGAGCTGCACATGCTCGCGGTCACATGGTGTGGAGGATTACTTTCTCTCCACGGCACTGGGAAGCCCTCCCATGCCTCATCTCAAGCTCTGCCCAACCACAGTACTCAGTGCAGAAGTCTGAACTGCTTGTCGGGGGGGCCGAGTTAACCAGCAGATGCTGGTTGCGAATGTTAAATGCCCAGGTGCCTACAGCTCTGGCTTTACCATGGCTTTAAAGCGTGAGATGTGGAGACACCGCCTTTCCCAGGTCCCGCTTCTTGCAAAGCTAGGTCTAAGTCTAAAAAAAAGAACCCTGGCTCGGGAGTCAGGATTCTCATTTTGATACTTTTCACATATAATTTTGAGCCAACCCTTTCCCTAAGCCTCAGTTTCCCCATCTGGGCAGTGAGGTGGCTATCCGGCTGACTTTTGTCACAGGCCTGGACAGTTGTGACTGCATTCAAGAGTCACGGGGCCTTATTGACATCATTAAGAAATGACATCCCATGTGGCTTAGGAACTAGATGTTCCCTGCTGCCTTCTGAGGCCACATACTCTCCCCCAAGGCCTTGGCGTCACCAGGGGAGATGGTCCCATCGCTCCTAAGGGGAATCTGACAAAAGCTGCCTCTACTTTAACCTCCGAGGCTAGGTCTCCGACCACGCTTCTAATCTATTCATAAATGAAGCCATTTCCAGAAAAGCTTGCTGATGACAAAGACAAAAACCAAACCAAACCAACCAAACAAACAATAAACACCCCCAAAACAAAACACCTCTTCCCAAGAATGCCCCATAGTGGCTGACTGGAGGTATTTCCCTGTTGCATGCTAGCAGAGTGGCCTAAAGCAATCACAGGAGGTCAGTAACTAGATGTCAAGCCTGCAATGGGGTTGGGGTGGGGAGAAGGGGGTTGACAGCTGGGGCAGACTGAGGGGCCACCGATAGTGACACTGGGGTTTGTCTCCACGGCATGTACTGGCTTCTTGGGACCCTATTCTCTTTGGATGTAAACCTCGCTCAACCTAGATGTAGTAGGGAGGGCCTTGGACTTTTCACAGGGCGGGGTGCATGGCCCTCTCTTAGGATTGGAGGGGGAGGGGAGGGAGGATCTGTGGAGGGAGAGGGAGGAGGGGAGGGAGTAGGAGGAGGGGAGGGAGTGGGAATTTAGATTGTTTTTTAAAGTAATAAAATAGTGAAAATAGAAACTCCCGAAAGTCTAAATAAATGAAACCAAAGAACAATCACATCTAACGACTGTGAGCAGAAAAGGCCCCTCATTAACCCGGTGTAAGACAATGTGTGTGAGGCAGGGTTAGGGTTCATTTACTGCACTCATTTATTTCCTTTCGGTTTTTTTGAGACAGGATTTTTCTGTGTATCAGCTTTGGCTATCCTGGAACTCGCTCTGTAGACCAGGCTGGCCTCCAACTCAGAGATCCGTCTGCCTCTGTCTCCACGCCTGGGTCACTGTATTTATTATACAAAGTTTTTTTCCTGTGGCTGGAATAAAATCACCATGGAGATGAAAATTCAGAAATGACATTCGCAGGGAATGTGGTCACGAGAAGAAAATGCTCGCACAACTCCAGGTTAGCTTCGATTTCTTACCTGGTGTATAGTTCCATCGATTTCAACGGGAACAATGAAATCAGCATTACTAATGGGCTAGAGAGAAAAGGAACTGTGATTAATACGTCTGAAAGGGGAAAGAAAATTGGAAATTTTAGCAAGAAAAAAGCTTGCCTGGACCAATATTTTGATAACTGGGGGAAACAGTTCAGGAGGGTGCTGGCATATGCCTTGGGTCCTTGAAATAACACAAACAGGAAGGCACGTTTCTTTCTGATTGTCGTGGCATTTCAGCTTTCTGGTCCAACCTCCTGGTCACTCGCCTGCCTCCACCACAAAGGGTGGCGCAGCCTGGCAAAAGAACGGGCTCTTCAGAGAGTCCAGCCCTTGCCTGGGGACCCAGACAGGATGAGGGGAACCAATGTTGGCCACCAGGGGGCAGCGATGAAAGCCTACTGGCCAGAGTCACCACCACTGGAAAAGTAATTTGTCCTTGGACTCACAGTGTGGGCAGCTTGGCAGGGGATGCTCAGAGCACCAACCCACAGCGGGTGGAAAGCCAGATGCCGCCCACCAGGGGCCTGGGCAGACCTCCCTCTCCGGCTCCAGTGTCTGCCCTGTACAACTGCTGTGGTGGTGGGCATGATGTCTCATGGGTCCCCATGGCTCCATCAGCAGCCTCGGGCCCTGCCTGGTGACCTGGCCTGGTTTCTTGCTCTGGGGTTGGAAGGCAGACACCCTCTCAACTGCTCTGTTCTAAAAAACACAAAACCCAGCCTACCCACAACGTCACAGGCATTGGACGTAACTCTTGGAGAGTAGTGGACGCATTTGGAAATAAAATAGGACTTTAGCAGTCATTGTAGCTCAATGACAGGCTCATATGTATTCTAAACAGAATTTCACAAGCTAGAAAAATTAAGGAACAGTCCAAAAGACTCATCAGCGTGCAGATCCTACGGGCAAGAGAGACACAGAAAAAGACAGAGGAAGTGCATGGTGGCCACTGTGTGGAGAGGGTGTGCCGAGCCTCTGGTTAGACTGTAAATTGGGTCTGCCTTTAAGTTCATCGGTGTACTGCACACTCTTCATCGGCATATAAACTGAAGAATGTGGAGTGTGCTAGACCATCACCTCATCACTATGTGGAGTGTGCTAGACCATCACCTCATCACTATGTGGAGTGTGCTAGACCATCGCCCCATCACTATGTGGAGTGTGCTAGACCATCGCCCCATCACTATGTGGAGTGTGCTAGACCATCGCCCCATCACTATGTGGAGTGTGCTAGACCATCGCCCCATCACTATGTGGAGCGTGCTACACCAACATCCTGCCACAAAGCACCCAGATGTGGCGGTGCTGCTGAGGTTTAAGACCATAGTTTATCTGTTCCCAGGGTAGAAAAGCAAGGGATAAACTCAAAATTTCATAACTTTACCACTGAAATATCAAGTTATGAGAAACAGAGAAAAACGATCGAAGAATAACTGTCACAAGCCTCGGATTATGAAATCACACTCCACATGGTGAAGTAAGAGGAGAATCAGCCTCAGCTGCCAAGCACGGCTGCTAGGCTCTCATGTGTCATGGCTTGTGTGTCATACCAGAGGCCCACAGCGCTCACTTCCCAAAAGACTGAGATGGCCACGACATGAAAAACCCTAACCCGAGTTGGAAAAGTAGCTCAGGCCGAGCCTGTGAGGTGGAAGCAAGGAAACACAGCTCAGCACTGGGTAGGCCTGAAGAGTTTGAGCCCACGAACCCATGGTGTAAGGAGAGACCTGACCCTAAAAGTGTGTTCTGACCTTACACAGACACACACACATGCCACGGCATACATGTAACTCACGCTCGTCACAAAAATAGATAAATAAAAAGATAAGAGATAATTCTAAAATGTACTCAGGTCAGGGAAGAAATGAGGAAATTCTGTTTACTGCCTGTGGCAGTCTGAGCAGGGTCCAGAGACGTCAGGGCTGCCAAGGCCCTGCGCTGGAGCCAGGAACCTTTGGCCATCTTGGGCAGTCTGTCCAGAGGCCTTGGGAGAATGGGTCTATGCTATGACAGTGACTGACCCCGCTCTGCACAGGAAGCCCTGAGCCGCTTGCTTCATGGAAGGAGAAATGTTGCAATGACGTTTAGAATGGAGCTTGGACACAAGGCCCCAGTGGCCCCAGGACCAATCCTGGAAGAGTCCAGCCCTTGGAATGCTGGGTAATGAGGTGGTCCTACAAGCCAGGTTATCCACCTTCCAAAGCCTTCAGGGACTGCCTCCTGGCCTTGTCCTGTTTGTTCAGTGAGAAGGCACCATGTACCATGTTGTTCCCAACAGGAAGGTGCATGGTAAATCTGATGGTTCTTCCCTACTGATGGCCTGACAGGAATGCCAAGGGCTCGGGTGAGACACCCAGCCCATCACGGGTGGCGCCAGTCACATCTCTCAGTGGAGCAAGAGGCATCCCAGGGTGGGGGCTGGGGGAGGAGGAATGTAGGGGCACTGGCCAGGGTAGAGCAGCTTCACCGACGGGAATAGCCCACGGTGACCCGAACCAGGCTCAACACCCACTGCTTCTCACCAGCACACCAACCACCTTTTCCAAATGTTGGCAGCCTTTGCCTCCCTTAAACACTTTCTTCTACTTTGAGGAGAAATGAATGAAGTCATTGTCTTAACGTAGCTCCTGTCACGCGGGTGCGGAGGCCCTCTGCTGCTGTAGCTGTTCCTGGCGGGGAGGTGAGTGCCATTCACTTAGACGTAGCTTAGTGGCAGCTCGTCGCCCACAGAGAGGGGCTGTGAGGGTGGGTACTCAGCCGTGACGGAAACAACAACCCCAGTGGGAGAACGGTAGGGATGAACGGCCCAGTCCACTGGACAAGGCTTCATTCAAAAATTAACCTGGGGACATGACCAGGGCAGCAGGGTGCCCAACAGTTTTCAGCAATACCCCTCCCCATGCCCCGCCCAGTAAGGTGCACAGTGCTCCAGTTACCTCAAAAACATCACATCCCCAGGCACTGATTGTCCCTACCCCCTGAACCTAAAAGCACTTCCACCGAGCTGAGAGTGGGGGAGTCCCAGTCCTCAAGGAAGTACTCGGTGATACTGGCAGCCCAGCAATTTCCTCCCCAAACCAATGTGCTAATATTCAACTATCATAGCTCACGTCCACCTGGGCAAACCCTGAGTTCTTGGGATTTCTTCATGAGGAGTGGAGTCACGTGCACGCGTGGGCACACACACAGCCATAGCCCTCACCCTTTTCACACGGTTATGACGTCAAAAAGACCTCCACGAGATCCTGAATGTGGACCTTACCTTAAATGAACTGTGCACCAGGGTCTCATCCAGATCAATGACCACACATTTCTTCCCATAGTCGAGCACCGTCACCTCTGGAAGGAGGTATTTAGCTGGTGGCTAAAGGAAGAAAAAAAAAAATCAATATTATAAACTCAATGTAAGAGGCTGACCCTCCCCCCACCTCTGCTACAGCAGAGACTACATTAACGCTGTGCAAATGAAAGCAGACATTTAGAGGCTTATCAGGTCCCTTTACTAAAAGCAATAACAGAGATTCTGCAATGGGGATTCTGTCCCACTGAAACCGTGTCTTTCTGTGACTGATGCCTGGGCTCTGGCACCAAGCCTGGCGTTCAATATCACCTCAGACACTTATTATTGTTATCAGTTGAGGCAATTATAGTTCCATGTAAAACAGATGTTTATCAGTTGTACCGTCACTCAACCACCCAGCACTTCCCTGGCACCCACAGGGTGGCCATTATTATTAAAATGAATCACATTAGAAATGAACAGTTCCATGTAACAACTATTCTGACTTCACAGCCTATTTCCTGAGCTCATGGTTTGCCTAAATTTCACTGTAACATGTCAGGAAACTTTGGAGCTATGTTAGATCCGTGATACATTTATTTATGTGTATGCATGTGTGCCTGCTGGTCTGTATGTGCCCATTGTGCCTGCAGTGCCTGTAGAGGCCAGAAGAGGGCGTCAAATCCCTGGAACTGCAGTTACAGGCTGTGAACCACCTTTGTGGCTGCTTGAAGTTGAGTCCAGGTCCTCTGCAAGGGTAACAAAGTCTTAATTGTCTCTCCAGCCTCGTGCCTGGCATTCTGAAATACTTGAAGAGAAGCTGTTGACCCACCAACACGTTGTCCTTCACGTATTAAAATTGAAACTGGTGGGCACAACACCTCCACTGTTGTGGCGTGAAACCGATGGTTGGGGCATCTGTACCTCTAACATCAAGTTAGACTTTAATCCACGTGCTGTGTTGAGCAAGTCCTCTGCTCCCCCAACCGGTTCTCGTAGCAGCTGACTCTTTTCCTGTGGTGGGGTCATAAAGAGCTAACACACTGCTTTGTGATTTCAGCCAGCCTGCTCTGTTTTGAGTATATTTCTTTGGGCCTTGCTTCATTCCAGAGATAATGTGAAGTATTTTAATTGACTGTGGTATGTTCAGAGGCTAATGTTAACTAGTTAATTTTTTCCTGCAAACTGTTTAATATTTGATGCAAAACAAAACATAATTAAATATCTAGACTCAGCGACGGAAGAATGAATGGTGGAGTTTTTCAAGCAAGACAAGCAAGCATGAAATCAGAAGTATGTTCTATAAAGTGGCTGGTTCCCTTCACTTCTGAACATTAGCTAAGGGAAAAAAAATAGCAATTTTGAAGCTGGATGGTGCACACTTGTGATCCCAAGAGGGCTGCTCAGGAGGCCGCGGCAGGAGGAGGAGCCACACTTGTCTAGGCTACACAGTGAGTTCAGGGACTTCTTTGGCCAACTTAGCGAGACCCTGGCCCAAAAGTAGGGCTGGGATCTAGCTCAGTGGTAGAGTGCTGGCATGTGTGGGGCACTAGTTCCAGGACTGCAAACACAATAGAATTGAACCCTAGCTAGCCGCGAGTGAGTGCAAGCCACACAGCGGGTTAGCTAAAGAGGCAGGTACCATGATCACCCAGGACAGGGGCTGAGCAGGAGGTGACATGTGGGGCCAGAAGCAGTCCTAACTCCAGGGTGCTTGGCATTGATGCCTTTTTCTAAATCACGGGGAAGAAAAGGCCCAGAAGGCCCACTTCCCAGAGCTCTAACTAAAGCTGGCTTCCGGTACCCCACGGCCTCCTCCGGCACTAGCAAGGGAGGTGGGAGGTGCCCTGGCTGCTGATGTGGAATTCAGGGACTGAGAGGGGACCTGTTTCCATCATTGTAAACGACAGAGTTAGCGGGGTGTTAAAAAAAAAAGATAACAAACTCACAACAAGTTTTGTACAAAAGCATTTTTTTTTTTTAAAAAAGGGCAGGGTTGAACACAACCAAAAGATAGGGAATTCTTTGTGCCATAGCAGAAGGTGTGCGTGTGACCATGGTAAAATTTGCTTTGATTTTATCACACAAGTCTGTGACAGACACAGTCTCACTGTGAAGACTACGGACAGGCAAGACTTTTTCCCTTTCGATCTCCCCGACCCAGGTCGAGCATCCTTCCCTCCAGCCTTCCTCTTGGCTGCACGCACAGCTACTAAAGCAATGTTTATAACTCCAGTCACTTAAACTGCTGGCCTGGGAAACAAGGCTCTAGCAATTCTACCCCTCACAGATCTGAAAACATCAAAGATCTTCCCAAAGCGGCTCAGAGATTTTCCAAGCCCAAGACTAAAAATTACCTTCTCAGCATATGTCCCACACTGTACAAGCATTGAGTGAACAGCAATTAAGAAAACCAGATAGCTCAGACCAAATGATGCAGGGAAGGAAGGGTCAGAGCGGCGAAACTCGGCTAAGTAAGCTACTGATTTTACAGCAGAGAGGAAGGCCAGGCTCCAGCAAGATGCAAGGAGGGAGAACTCCATCAACCCAGCCCTTCACACAGCTTCTCTGGGGTCTCCTTGGGAGGAATGCAAATTCCTCAGCCCATGCTAAGACCTCTGGTCAGCCAGCTATGTTCTTGGCAATACAAAGACACTGTAAAGCCACCATAGTGTGTTGAATCAGTCATTTGAAGATTTAACCAAATCTCTGAGGTCATCATAAAGCTTAAGAACAAGAAAAGCTCCTGTTACATCAAGAAGGGCCGTCCATATTTACAGTAGAACTATAAGCTGAACCGGCCGGCATGCATGCTGGGTAAACACCCTAGCACTGAATCACACCTATCCTCTTTTCCCTTCTGAAAACGTGAGACAAGATTGACTAAGGTACCCAGGCTGGCCTTGAATTCACTCTACTCAGCCTCCCAAATAGCAGAAATTAGAAGCCTGTACCACCAGGCTAGTCATTAAAACAAAACAAAACCTTTTAATTATCATTATTGTGTGTGGGCACCTGATGCCATGCATGCGTGTCGTGGCATATATGTGAAAGTCAGAGGACAACTCTGGAGTCTGCTGACTTCTTCCACCTGTATGTGGGTCCTAGGGGCGAACTCAGGTTGTCAAACTCACTAGGCAAGCACCAAACACCTTGCTGGCCGTTTAGCTCTGGTTGGTCTGGAACTCTCAACCCTCTTGGTGGTGGGATTACAAGCACAGGCCACTGAGTATGATAAAAGGGCCATAGCCCTTTCTCTCTCTCTCTCTCTCTCTCTCTCTCTCTCTCTCTCTCTCTCTCTCTCTCTCTCTCTCTCTCTCTCTGTTTTAGACATGATTTCTCTGTAGCTTTGGAGCTGTCCTGGAACTAGCTCTTACAGACCAGGCTGGCCTCGAACTCACAGAGATCCGCCTGCCTCTGCCTACAGAGGGTTAGGATTAAAGGCGTGCGCCACCTCTGCGCGGCAAGAATGGCCTCTTCTATACAGAGTCACTTACACAAATGCACGTATGGGACTTGCAGGATGGGGCAGAAACACAGAAGTGGGAGAGGAGAAAGGCATGGTGGTTTGCCATCTGAAGTCTGGAAATGAAATTCCAGTTTTATTAAAAGCTTTTGGCAGACAACACAGGCTGACTGTTAAGTCAATCCCGCTGTTCCCCTTTCACTTCAATGTTCAGCTATACCGCCGGGCCTCCGAGTGTGAACTTCAGCAAGACTGTGGGACAACAGGACTTGGGCCACAGACCGTGTGGATTCTTTCATGGAGGACGCCACGTTCACAAGCTCGTCTCAAGCCATGTGAACTTCCCATCCCCTACATTTCTTCCTTAGCCTTCAACATCCGAGCATAAGTACAAAACCCGTGAAGCTTCCCAGTGAGGAAGCCCTGACTCCCAGCCCACAGGTGGGATACGAAAGCTACTAACTGAAATTTTCAATGGTCCGTGTAAACATGTCATTCCAGTGGTGTGTCAGAGATGAGGGCTCAGTACAGGTTCAGGGCAGCAGAGTGGCCACTGGAGACTATCCCCTGCTTTCTAAATGAATGAAGGACATCAAAATCTCAGAGGAGGACATGGGTCATGAGTCACAGTTACAGAGTGGATAGGTCTCCCAAAGCACAGATTAGGGGTCATAAAACATCAGACGAATACATTTACCTATAGAACATTAAAATTTCTTTGAGGCCAAAACGATCGTAAACACAGTCAAAAGATATACTATAGTGTTTTAACATTAAAAACTTAAAAAAATTTGTGTATGTGTGTGTGCGCACGTGCGTTTGTGTGGATATATGGAGGTCACAGGACAACTGTGGGGGTTGGTGATCTCTCTCTGTCTCTGTCATGTGGTCCCAGGGAGTCAGACTCAGGTCATTGGCCTTGGCAATACCTTTACCAGCTGAGCTCCTTCTCTTAGGCCCAAGCACCACTTCCTGAACATTTACAAAAGGGAGGACAAGATAAAGCCTAGACAGACAGAATGGAAGCAAGGTACGTGGCCAGTGAGAGGCCGCTCATATTCACTGGTCCACAGATGCCAGTTAAAGCAATAAATCAACAGCATTCTTCGCTTTTGGATTAGCAAAGGCTGGGAGCATCTGAAAAGCATTTCTGAGAGGGAATGGGGCCAGCTCACAGTCGTCAGTGTTAGAGGGCAGTTTGGCTTCAACAGCTAACAATGCGGACTAGGCTGCTGGACCCAGTGTTTTCCGTTAGGACCCGATGGAGAGGTCCATGGACGCACAGACACTCCTGCACAAATGCTTGTGACTACACAAACAGCCGCGTGAATGCAGTCAGTGGCAGGCAAAACAATGAGGTAGAGGTACATATGCTGATCTGTGCAAAGATGTTCAGGGCGTCCGTTACTAGCATCAGACGGCCTGCGGAATGGCGGGAGCAACGCAGTCTCGTGTGTATAAACATGTTTGCTTGGGAGCTTTCTGAGAGGGTGGGACAAACATTAACGAGAGTTATGCTAGACTGTGGGCACTGCCCGGAGAACCCTTTCCCCCTTATCTTAATTTCTCATCATTTAAAGTTTAACTACTGGCTTGAATTATTGTTGAATAAAAAGTTCAAAGTCTGAAACTTCTGCACTTGCAAAAAGACCAGCATATGAACGAGAGAAGCGGGGGTGGGGCCCGAAGCAGAGATGGGGGATTCTGTGCCAGCAGTTGCCGTGGGCACCCGTGGCATCAGATGGCCCTTCCTCTTTCCTGGAGAAAGCCTTCATGAGGCCAGGGAACCTGGTCCTGAAGTTGCTTAGGTATCTAGTCCTTTGATGTGGACCTAGCTTTAGTCACTCAGTATTACCCAGAACACCCTTTGCTCCACAGGGTCACTCTACCTAAGTGACCCGGGGCCTTGGGAAATTAGTACAGACTTTACCAGGGATGCCAAGATGTAAACCTCAGGACTGAATTGAGCCTAGCTGACCTTGTCCTCAGTTCCACATGCTGAGCAGGCAGTGGAGGTGACACCATGCCCAATGGTGGAACTGTTTCCCTTCAGATCATCATTCAAAGGTGCAACTTGGGACTGGATGGGGGATATCGCTCAGTGGTAGAGAGCTGGTTTACTACGCACAAGGTAATTCTCGTTACGGGGCTGGAGGCATCAACACGAAGACACGATTAGAGTTACTTCAGCCAGGTGCTGCCTCTTGGGAAGCCAGTCCCAAGAGTCACATGTGCCCCACTGTCTGCAGTAGATGTAGGACAGAGCCTGGAGTTCACTGATCTGATACTCGGGTAAATTACACAAGGAGCCTTCTCGGCCCTATCTACTGTATGCTGGGACTCTGTGCATGGTTTGAGCCCGGTTTCGTCAGCAGTTTGCACGGCCCACAGCTCCTTTCCTTTGGCACCCAGATCTACAGCCGGCCATGAGTTACCTCTGTGTGCAGCAGTGACATCGAGAGGACACCCACTGCTGCCACCCATGCACGAGAATACCTCCGTAGAGGTTAAAGGTAGCCCTTGATGGAGCCTGCTGGGCATCGCTGGAAACACTGGCTCAGTGGCTACCTGGCCTGGTCAGTCTCTCCCCCAGGGAAGCCCAACCCCTAGGCATTGAGAAAAGCAAAGTGATTGACTTTTTTTGGGCCAGTTGCAATCTCGGGCAACCCAAATTCGTAAAACCCACACTATTGGGTGTAGGATAGCTGTACTTCTGGGAGGCTTCAGGAAATACGGCAAAGCACACACACACACACAGACTGGAATCCCATAATGGGAATCGGGTAATCCTTATAAACTAAAAGACCAATTCACAGACTGTTCTAGAAACTGGATCCTTCCCTGAGGACATGGGGCTGTGCCTTGCTGTAAAGTTCCTCCGGGAAATAGCTGGATATAGAGTGCTGCGGGCTGAGCAGGAGGTGGGGGAGCATACAGGAGCGGGAAAGGCAGGCTCAGTGAAGGCCTGGGGACGCAGGTACAACTTCGCTATAGAATTCAAGGTTTTCAAAGGGTTGGTGAGGTGGCCTGACAAGTCGCAGAGCAGCTGGCCGAGAGGTCTGAGGGGTTGGTTGGGTCCTGGGAGTTTAAGCAGCCCGGAACAGCGAGCAGGTCCAGTGAGCCAGACTCTGCTGTGAGGAAGCGAGTCTGGGCAATGTGTGCTGCTCTCCTGGTCAGAAGAGCTGGCCCAGTGCAGTACGGAGGGAGGGCTGGGCACAAGCCATCTCGGTTTACCGAAGCTGGGAGGTTTTTCTTGGGAGTAAGGAGGTGAGGATTGCAGGAGAAAAGAGGGGCAAGGTGGGTGAACGCTGCAGAGTCTGTTTTCTGTACACAGCTCAAACTAGCTTTGTTTTCTTGCTCCTCCTCCTCTCTCTCTCTGTCTCTCTCTGTCTCTCTCTCTGTCTCTCTCTCTGTCTCTCTCTGTCTCTGTCTCTCTCTGTCTCTCTCTCTCTCTCTCTCTCTCTCTCTCTCTAGCAGAATATAGCTGGTTACACCACATGATAAAACTCAGCAGAAGCGAGAACGCTGGAAAACCTTTCCCGAGTAGGAAATGCACTGGGGGATGTCACGCATGCTTTAACAGAACGGGATAAGGATACATACACTTGGTACGGGAATGACCTGCCTCTGGTCACCCTGAGGAAAAAGAAAAGAAAATCACCGTCAGGATGGAAAACAAAAAGACCACATTCTCTAAAGAAACTTCTAAGCTCTCTTGAGCAGAAACACAGCAATGGCCTTCCCACCCCTGCACCCTGGTGGCAGCGAGCAGAGGAAGCCAGGGACTTCCGGGAGGGAGCAGGCCCGAGCTGCTTCCAGACCCCTCCCGGCCTAGGAAGAAGGGCTTCTGAGGCTCAGGCCTCTCTGTTAATTTAAACAGCATGTGCCCTGCTCCCAGGAATACAACTGTAACTTAAAAACAAAACTGAACACTCCGATTTTGATCCCCACCCCTCTAATAACCGGCTTGTTTCTTGTTTTCAAGCAATTTCCCCCCTAAAAGGACACGAGTAGAACACACAGCGAAAGGGGGGCAAGTTGATCGGATAACAAGGAATGCCTGACCGACCGCTCCAGGTCCTCCTAGGGTGGAGGACAGAAGGGAAAAGGGGGGACAGGGCAAGGTACAAGAAGTTCCCTCCCAGGCTACCAATGCAGCTTTCCCCTTTAAGGGAAACAGAAGACTTTTCACTGAGAGTGTTAAGAATGTTCATGCCCCAAGGAGGAGGCTCAAGGAGCTTCAGCCCAGAATACCTGCCTTGCAGAGTGGCGGGGACACTGGTAAATGTTAATACAAGGGGGAAAAGCTATATTTACTTTGTGTGTGTGTGTTTCCTTCTCATATGGTGGGACAGGGAGATGTGCTGCTTCGTGTCTCTAATCGGAGGATTTGAGAAAAGATGTATCCATGGTCACCAAGGTGGTCACCAGAGACACGGTCTCCTGTGAAGGCCAAACTTGATAGCAAAAGCAAGTGGCTGGCACCTCCTGGTAGCTTTGCTAAGACTCACAAGGTGACTTCACGATTCTCTCTGGCCCCTCGACATCACCTCTGTGGGGGTAATTGCAATCCTCTTTCCTCCGAAGATAACCTGGATGGCTTGTTCTTTTGCCAGGAGGCCCCCAAGATGGGGGTCTTTCTACAGTTCTAAGCAGCCTCTATCAGAGGCTCTCCCACACGACAGCACATGCTAATCAAATCCCGGGGTCCAACAACTGGCACAGGGAACTTCATTCCGAAGGTCTGGATTTGGGAGGGAGATTTTAACCAGAAGCTCATAAGTGCTGGCCCCTTTCGAGCAGTGACACTGGGCCAGATGACTGGGCGAGGATGTCCTCTACCGGCACAGGTAAAGCATCTCTGCCCTGCCTCGCCAGGGAGTCTCCCATGGAGGAAGCCTTGCTCCAGCCCGAGACCACAGAGCTCCACTCAGTGAGCCTCAGAAACACGGGTCATGAGCCGAGCGTATGTGTGAAGAGGCCACGGGAGCACAGCCGAGGGTCGACAGACCATGGACGGTGAACATACAGAAGTGATGAGCCACAGGTATGTGGGGATGAGGACTGTGTGTGTGTGCGTGCACACATACATGTGTGTGTGTGTGTGTGAGAGAGAGGTGTATGTGCGACCATGCGTGTGCTATGAGGGGCATGCATGTGTGTGTAGGGAGGGTAGGTATATGTATGGGATATGTGTGTGTGTGTGGTATGGTGTACAGGGGGTATGTGTGTGTTTGTGTTTCTGGTAATCCCTTTTATGCTCTTCTTACTTCTGGGGTCCTCCACAGTCATGTTGGAGTCTTTCGGTCACTTAGTCTCTGGATGCTGCTGGCCTGCAGGTCCAGGATGTAGCTGAGGTGCCTTCAGTGACTGAAGAATGGTTGAAAAAGGTCCTGGATCTTCCTCTTTCCGGGGGTGAAGGCATCTCAGCGGTTGCCTGTTCCCTTCTGCCCACGGCCTTCTACTGAAGCCCTGGAGACTTTGGTAGAGTCAGGTCTGGGATCAATTTCCATGGGTGGGCTTGTTGGCCTGTTTTCAGTGGGCACTGGTGGGAGGCAGCTTGCTCTACCCACAAGGTCCCACTTGCTCTATAGACAGCGCCACTTTAGGTTTAACTAAATTTAAAAGGACTTATTTTTATTTTATGTGTATGGGTGTTTTGATTGCATGTATGTCTGCATACCACATGTGTGCCTGGTGCCTGTGGAGGCCAGGAAGGGGTGCCAGACCTCATAGCTGGAGTTAGAGAGGGTTGTGAGCTGCCACATGGGTGCTGAGAATCTAATGCTAGCCCTCTGGAACAGCAGCCAAACCTCTGACCTTTCTCTCCAGTCCCGCCGCTCAAACAACAACCCTGAGTTATTTAAAAAGACATTTCTGCAAACGTGAACAGAGGCAAGCCATGAATAAGCAGTAATTCTGAGACCACTGCTCCCAGAGGAGCCTTTACAGGGTGTTTATCTCAGTGGACCACTGAGGATCCCGGTCCCTTCGCTTAGGACACTTCTCAGCAGGGACAGTGTCTTAATTCTCTTATTTTAAAAACATGTTCATTACATCTGCTTATTCATTTTGCATATGCTTGTGGGCATGTGCCACCCTGCACGCGTGGAGGCTGGAGGACAACGTGCATGAACTGATGCTCTCCTTCCCCGACGTGGGTCCCAGGGATGGAACTCACGTTGTCAGGTGTGGTAGCAAAGCCTCTTCCTGCTGAGCCATGCCCTGGTCTCCGCTGGCAGCAATAGTTTTTAAGCAGGACAGGACAGAAATGCATGGGGAGAGCTGCTTGGAATGGGGGCCAGGAGACAAGCCACAGTGGACTCTCCTTTTATACGTTACGATAGCTACACACACCAGAGTCACATCTGCTAGGCCAGCTGTCCTTCAGTGTGTTCTTCCTTAAGCTTTCTTCAGTATCTCTGATGGCTTTTCCTTCCACGCGAATGTCAGCCCACCCAGAAGCACAGAGCAAGCTTTCACTCAGCCATTCAAATCAGTTTTATCTCTCTCGGGCATCTATATCAACAGTGACGCCATCCACAAGCACGGCTAATTTTATAATTTTTCCATATTTATAACAACTGTTTCATTTTCCTGTTTTATTCCACCAGCCAGAGCCTACCGACGGTTTGCCTGTGTTGTTTGCTGCTCATTTTCAGAAGACAGAAGAGCTTCCTATCATGATTTTCTCATAGCTTCCTTCTCATACTTGGCCACACATCTGGTCATACGAAGGATGGCTGGGTCATGAAGTACCTCCTCACCTTTTATCACTGCAAACGTCTTCACTGTGTTTAATGCTTTCAGGTGTGTTTATTTTTATTTGTGTGCATGCATGTGATATGTATGCATGTGGTGTGTGTGGGTGCCTGCGGAGGGCAGATGAGAGCATCGGAACCCCCAGAGGGACACCCGCATATGGACGCTGGGAACTGAACCCAGGGCCTCTGCAAGAGCGGCCAGTGAGCCATCTCTCCAGCCCCTAAGACATTTGACTCAGTTCTGCTCGATCTGATACTAGTATTGCCTTAGCCTTAGCAGTTAGACTTCTTCCTTGTACACTGCACCCATCTCTTTCCTTTCCGCTCTCCTTTATCACGCTGTGTTTGATGCTATTATGGAAACGATCTGGCACTCATTGTAATAGGCATTAGCCACTCTGTACCCCGTCATCCCAGCTTCTCTTCTGGGTACATGGTAAGGTTCTGCTTCACTGCCTTTGAAGTTTGGTAGGTATAGTTATGTGTCTTGCTGCAGCCACTAAAGTCAAAATACATTTGCTTCTGGGTCAAAACCTTCAGGGATTGTGACAGTTAAGGAAGCCAAGCCGCTAGTCCATCAATGCTGTACATTCATGAAAGAGATGAGTGGAGCCACTCACAGCAGCACACAGGTCCCACTGAGCCCGTGAGACGTGGCTAGCCCGCACTCAGGTGTGTGCGAGTATAAAATGCACTCATTAGTTCCTGAACTGGTAAGATAAGAAGAGATTATCTCCACAGTATTCTGTTGATCCCATGTTTGAACCTTGGATATACTGGGTTAAGTAAAATATGATTAAAATTAATTGCATTTGTTTTGAAACATTTTTGAAATGTGACTGAAATGATTTAGATTTGTAGCTTACTGCATTTCCACAGAAGACTCAGCTAATCTATGACAAATGATGGAGGAAGGAAACATGAAAACCTCCTGACAGCTCTCCAAACGATTTCAAAAATGAAATTTAAGATGAAAATAAATTTACATTTTATGTGTGTGAGCTATTTCGTCTGCATATGTGTGTGTGTGTGTGTGTGTGTCACATGTTGCAGTGTCTGTAGAGGTCAGAAGAGGGCACTAGAACCCCTTAAACTGAAGTTACGGATGGTTGCGAGCCAACACATGGGTACCAGGAACTGAACCTGGGTCCTCAGCACGTGCTCTTAACCCCGACCCCTCTCTCTAGCCCTGTGTGTGTATGGGGGGGGGCATAAGCCACTGCTTGAAGCATACGCAGATCAGAAGACAGCCTGTAGGAGGCAGTCCTCTTTGTCACAGTCTTGGGAAAGAATTTAGGTTGTCCACGCTAGTAGCAAGCATCTTTATCCAATGATAAAGAATCATCTTGCTGGCCAAACTTGCGCTGCTTTAAGCCTCGTAGGTTTCAAGGTTGATACTGAACCACAACTACACTCATGCTGACCAGTAACTCATGGGTCATTCCTCATTTTGGCTGAGAGTAGAAACTCATCCATATGAATTTCTCTGCATGTCATCCTTGCTGCAAGTCGGTAGCCCTCAGACAACGTTCTGGGTTTTCCATGAAAGTAATAATGTGAAAGAGATGGACAATGCTAGAGCTCCCCACCACCCATGAACGTAAATCTCAGGTGTGAGGAGGGAGGCACAGAGCCAGCGATAGCCAGGCAGAAAGATGGCCAAGTGGAAGAACACAGTCTGGGTTTCTGATGTCATCACTGGGATCTAAACCAACTTAGCACCCGACTGACTCAGTCTTCACATTGAAAAAGCAATCAGTTTGAGCTACTGGTTGCTCATTTTCTTTTACTTGTTGCCTAAACCATCAGCATTTGATGGCAGGTGTGGTCTTGGTAATGGCACACGGCTGAATCTGTCAAACCAGGTGACGTCGTCTTGGTCACCTGTGAGCAGAAACTGGTTCACTCTGTTTTGTGCTCTCTGTTTAAGCTATGCTTCTGTTTATCTTCAGCTGCCCTGGAGAAAACCGGGCCCGAACTCTGACATTCATACTTAACGGTACCTTCCAGCCCAGGGCCAGCTTTTTTTTTAATTAATTAATTTATTTATTAAATATTTCTGTCTCTTCCCCGCCACCGTCTCCCATTTCCCTCCTCCTCTCCCAATCAAGTCCCCCTCCCTCGTCAGCCCAAAGAGCGATCAGGGTTCCCTGCCCTGTGGGAAGTCCAAGGACCACCCACCTCCATCCAGGTCTTGTAAGGTGAGCATCCAAACTGCCTAGGCTCCCACAAAGCCAGTATGTGTAGTAGGATCAAAAACCCATTGGAACTCACCAAGGCCAGCTGGCCTGGGTCTGAAAAAGCCTGGGTTAAAACCGGACTCGCTGAACATAGAGGACAATGAAGACTACTGAGAACTCAAGGGCTAGCTTTTTGAAAGGCACAATGTGCCTTATCATCTTTTTCCCTCTCAGTAACCTGCACGTGTGGTCTTAGTCTTCTCTTTTATTGTTGCTGATAAGAAGTCCAAGATTAATATAATTGCTTTCACTAAAATAAAGTGTTCTGGTAGCTTGTGAGATGTATTGTTTTAGCCGGGGGTAAGGTGCTGGTGGCACACACCTTTAATCCCAGCACTCTGGAGGCAGAGGCAGGCAGACCTCTGTGAGTTCAAGGCTAGCCTGGTCTACAGAGTGAGTTCCAGGACAGCCAGGGCTACACAGAGAAACCCTGTCTCTGTGTTTGAAAAAACAAACAAAAAGCTGCGCTACTTTAACTGAGTGAGTTCCACCTGCAGCCCCTGGTCCCTGGGCGTGTGCTCTGTTGTGTCCCACTCCTGCGGGAGAACCAGCAAGCTTTGCAGTGGCAGGTGCAATCTGTCATCTTTCTGGAACTCCTGCTTGTTGATTGGTCTAGATGGCTCCTCTCCTCCCTCGCGATTTCCATCTTTGCGTTTCTGGTCTGAATTTTGCTTTTCCAGAATTTACACTCAGTTCTCGAAATGGCTGCTCTCACCGTCTCCCTTGCTTTCTGAGGTTTTGTGTTTTGTGCTGTGAGATGTTGGAGCCCCACAAGTCTCTCCCGTCCCAGTGGCTGTCCTGAGTTGTCCATGGAGGCTGACTTTCTACACTTTTTCCCGAAGGAGTCTTAGCCGCCAGTTTTTCCAACATGGACCTGAGGCTTCACTACAGTGGGCAGTTTAAATCCCTCTCCAGGGAGTCCATGGGCTTCTGCTGGTGGTTGCCATTTCAGGTCTTTCTTAGGCCTCTAGAGAAGACCAGCGTTTGCCGTGTGCCTTTCTAGTCTTGCTTGCCGTTTGCTGCGGCGTATGGCAGGCTAGCTGGTCCATGGCTATTCCTGTGGTGTACGGCAGGCTGGCTGGCCCACTGCTATTCCTGCGGGGTCTGGCATCTGGCTGGCCCATGGCTGTTTTCTGAGGTGTACGGCAGGCTGGCTGGTCCATGGCTGTTCCTGTGGTGTACGGCAGGCTGGCTGGCCCAGACGCTTCTGCCGACTCCCTAAAGACATTGCACTAATGCTTTTATGTGGGTTCTGGAGATCTGAACCCAGGCAGTCAGGCTCAGGCACAAGCGCTGTGCTCACTGAGCCGTCTTCCCAGCCCTACTGGGAATATTTCTTTACGTCAACAATCGTGCCGTGCCATGCCTCAGGATTCGCCACTTTTAACCAAGACGGCAACAGACTGTGTGGCTATCATGTAGCTCTTTTAACCAAAGACCTCTTTTTTTTCCTTTTAACCCCTTCTTGAAATCATTATGTGTCTGAAAATGTACCTCCATTGAGTCAAGGAAGGCTAGCTTTGTGCGTGTACACGCATGTGTGTCTGTGTGCATGTATGTAGGTAAGAGGTCTGCATCAGGCACCTTCCTGGATCATTATAAGCCATGCTGGATAGCATCTTCTGGATCAATCTTTGTACATTTATAACAATATTTTTTATACCGTGAAAGAAAATTGCTTTCCTCAACAACAGGCAAACTCTAAGATTTTAACTGCGCATTGCCAAACGTCCTCTCGGAAATGTAAACCAATTAGCACACATTCTACACCACTTAACGCTACGCTGCCCCCTCCACTCCCACACCAAGCCCAAGCATCACCTTTTAAAAACCTCACAGACAGGAAAAGGGTAGTCTTAGTTTACACATTTGGCCGTATCAAATATTTTTCATATCTTGAGCCATACACCAAAACAATCAGGTGTTTTGATCCATCCCACATTTGACTAGCTGTATTTTTCCTTATTAAATATCTAGTATATGTGTACACACCCATGTCAGCCAGAAGAGGGCGCTCTAGCCTCTGGACTAGCGTCACAGGCTGCTGGGACTGCCTGACGTAGGTGCTGGGAACTGCGGATATGCGAGCCCCCTCTCCTGTCCCACAGCGATTTCTTCTTCTATGAGCTATCTGCTTACGCTCTTTGTTCATGTTATTAGGAACATAAAGTTTATTTATGACTTCCGTGTCTGTAATTTTTAACCATGTTCCTGATGGATAATCTCCTTTGCATTTTTCAATATTGTTTTTTCTTAATCTGGAACCCAATTTTGACAGAAATGAATATAACCTGGTTTCTTTACTTGTTCCTGAATGGTGTCTCTTTGTTTATCCTTATATTCCTAACTGTTCTGAGTCATTTTGTTTCAGATGTGTCTGTCAAACAGCCCGTGAGTGGTTTTGGGTTCTGACCTATTATGACAATCTAACACACACACACACCCCAGCAAACACTCTACACAGAGCCCTTCCCACTTTGCTTTTGTTAAACACATGTTGTTACACAATTATACTCACTGCAAGGTCTGCTCTGTCTCTCTCTTACTTTGCCTGCTTCTATATCTGCTACTGGTTCCTTCTTAAATATTATATTAATCTATTCTGTGTGTGCGTGAGCACGCGTGTGTGCAGGTCTATATATATGCCCACCCATGTCACAGTGTGCACGAAAGGGTCAGGGGATGCCTCGTGGGGCAGTCAATTCTCTCCTACCATGGGAGCTTGAACTATCTGGGGCTTGAACTCAGGTCATCAGGCTTGGCAGCAAGCCCCTTTACCAGCTGAGCCATCTTGTTGGCCGTAAATTTCCATCACACACGCCCTTCAGTTGCTAGATGGGAGGACCAGAAATCCTTCCTCTAAAAGACTGAACCCACGTCTTCAACGGCTGCGCACACATTTCACAGACTATTGGGGGAGGATCTGCCACGGCGGGACAGACAAGCTGCCGCAGTTTTACCGACGGCAGTTCTCCGTAGGTACTGACCTTCTGAAGCCCACCATTCTCCTCCACCAGTGGTGGAAGCACACTGGGGCTGCTGGGTGGAGGGGCCTCCACATTGTAGTCTCGGAAGCAGCAGAAGAAGGAGCTGAGGATGCTACGACCCCTCTGCTTCTTCAGGCTGATGCTGCGCTGGGAAGCTGAAAGAGAAAAAGCACACTGTGAGTGATCGAGGCAACACATGGGGGCGAGGCCTGGCATGTGCAGCTGCTTCTCAGACCCGACTCCAGGGGCCCTGCAGCCCAACCCCAGGCGGGACAATCACTGGGACTTCAGCTCGGTGGGGCCCGTGGAGCGGCGGCTCCTTAGCGCCACAGTCCTCAGGGGCATTGTCACCTGTGCTCCCCAGCTGGAGGAGGAGAAGCATTCCTACTAGGCAACAGGACGCTTCAAAATCAGTGGACCTGACCCTCCCTCAGCAGCATCTTCCCACTGGACGGCAAGCGAGAGCCACTTAGAGACTCGGTGCCTGGACACTTCTGTGTGTTATGGAGACAGTCATCTGGAGGGGTCAAAGACGTGTGGTGATGCTCAGAGCGCGGGCTTTGGAGAATCAGGGAAAGTTCTCAAGATCCAGTACTGTGCCCTGGCCTGCCCTGGATGGGAGGCATCTGAAGGAGGGATGGGTCTTTCTATTTATCCTGGGCTCAGGACAGGTTGCCACAAGTTAGAAATAAAAGGCAAAATCTGGCGCAGATGGAAAACACACCTCAGGGCAGAAGACTGACAACTTGGATGGGCAGGCTCTTCTGCCTGGGAATGTGGCCGGGGCAGTCCTACCACATGCCATGGCTGGGTGGGTCTGCGGTGCTCAGAGCTGTAGTCTCAGAGAAGAGACCATGCTGAGGCTTCGTGATGTGGGAAGTGTTAAAAGTAGGGCAATTGTGAGAACACGCCTCTCCTCACCAGCCATCTGGCACTATTCTTCACTGTGTGAACTTAGTGATTCGCTCAGCGCCCTTCCTCCCAAGTGATCACAATCCTAGGAATTAGTTCCCTGGTAACAGCAAAACCAAATGCATCCAGGGGATTCTGGGAAGGTGATCTCCAAGCAACTGCTCAGATGTGGGTGTTGGTCTGCAGCCCCCATGCACGACCCTTAGGGGCCGGGGAAATGGCTCAGTGGTTAAGAGCATTGATGCACAATAGTAAGGTCCAGAGTTTGGATTCTAACACCCACGGAACAAGCTGGGCATCCCGCACACACCTGTAACCCCAGCTCTGAGGGGAGAGACAAGAACATCCTCTTGGGGTTCACTGTCTTCCAGCCCCACTGTGAAAACTCAAGCCCCAGGTTCAGAGAGAGCCCACGCCTTAAAGAAGTAAGCAGAGATTGATGGAGGAACCCTGATGCCCTCTTCTGACCTCTATGTGTGCATGCACGCACACATACACACACATGCACACACACATAATGCATTATAAAATGATAAATCCTGGGGAAGCTGGATGTTTTGTCTTCTTCATGAATCTTTCAGGGTACATCATGGAGACTCAGTGGTCCCATTTCAGGATTCAAAGGCTGGGTCAGGCCACTGGGCCCACAGGTGGTGGCCTCCCAAGCACACGTGAGCAGGGTTGGTAAATATATGACTACCATCAAGCTGACTGACGGCCAACTTTTGAAACCTCACCTCCTGGACTCCACACAACTCCCAGAGGTTATAGGGGTCACTGCTTCCATCCTTGCTAACAGGGAGCAGCTAGCACTTGCTGGTGCCAGGAGTAGAACCCAAGAGGGCCTGTTTCCAATGTATGATTTCCCAAGCGCCCCACTGAAGGCAAACCCAGCCCAACAGCATGCTGGTCTCTAGCTGACGGTACATTTCCCGGTAAGTCTATGGCTTGCTTGTGTCTCAGAGGTGATGAGCAGCCCAAGAGCGAGTGCCTTCCAAGGTCTGTCTTCACCTTTGGCTCACACAACCATTCCTCACACTAATTAACAATTATTCATCTAATCAATCAAACCGAGACTTGGAACCAGTAAGGCACTTACATTTATACCACTGGATCCCTCGCTGTCTAGAGCAGGAGAAGTTAGATTGAGCCGTGTGGAGGCCGGTGGAAGTGCCCAGGTTTCCTTGCCTCCCTTGTTGGAGGAGGGAGAAGACATAATTCCTTAGGACCAGTGAGCATATGACTGAGTGGCTGGAGCCTCTGGCCCCATCTCTCTCCCACATGTGGGATGGATGTCTCTGGATGTCTCATTGGCCTTTCCCCTCGACATGCCTAAATGGGACCCACGGTCTCCACTCCCCGAGTCTCTGACACGGCTAAATGGGGCTTGCAGTCCCCGCTCCCCGGCTCTAATCATCACCCCTTTCTCTTTCACTAGGCCGTTCTGAATCCTAAGTAGCTCTCACATCTGTCTTCAGCGGCTCCTCTCCTCCCCAGGCAGAGGCCTTAAACTGCTGAGGTAGTGTCCTGAATTGATTTGCTACAGATCTTTGTCCCACAGTAACTTCTCCACAGGACCCACGTGACAACTAAGCCTACCAAATGCTGAGAGAGAGAGAGAGAGAGAGAGAGAGAGAGAGAGAGAGAGAGCGAGCGAGCGCACACGGGCTCTGAAGCCCGCCTGCATAGGTACTCGTGATGGCTCAACCAGAAACAGCACGGGGCCTGGGGAAGTTCTCATACTTCTTCGAGCCTGGGTTTCCGTGTCCATAGAATAAGGACATTAGACATGGCCATACCTTGCAAGTTTGTCATGAGAATCAAATGTTTTATTATAAGTCCTGAGAATAGTATCTAATAAGTATTCAGCAAATGCTGCTCTTGGAATCATCAGTAGTCTTTCTAAAAAAATTTAGGGGCTAGAGAAATGGCTCAGAGGTCAAAGCTGGGTAATCTCTTTGTAAAGAATTCAAGTGTGGCTCCCAGTGCCCATGCGGGCAGCTCATAACCACCTGCAGCGCCAGCTCCAGGGGCTCCATGGCCTTCTTTTGACCTCTGTGGGCACTGCACACACATCTACACATAATTAAAAAGTCAATCTTTAATTTCTTTTCGGCGTTTCCTCAGCAATGCACTTACTTCCTTTTTTCTTTTCTGTTTTTCTTATTTCTCCCATTATTAAATGCGTGCTATTTATTTATTTGGCCTGTGTGTGTGTGTGTGTGTGTGTATGTGTGGGCATCCATATGCGCACTGTGTGTGGAGGTTGGAGGACAACCTGTGGGGGTCACTTCTTTCTACCATGTGGGTCCTGGCGCTTGAACTCGGGTCTCCAAGCTCTGCAGCAAGCGCCGTTCCTTGCTGAGCCATCTCATCAGGTCTTAGCAACGTTTGCTTGGTAGAGCAGAAATGACTCTGCTGGTAAATTCTGGATAAAGGCTGGATGTCGCGAAAGTAAATTTTTTTTCTTTCTCCTGGCATTTGCTAACTGAGAGACACATTTATTATAATAGGTCTCAGTTATATAAACTGCACTTTAAAAGCAAAACTAGACAAATCTCAGGAAATCATTCTATTCAATTGCTTTCAAAATTGGATGCAGACATGGGCAAGGTAAAGAGGGGGTTGAGTGTCCAGTGAGCTCTGCTGGGTGCTGTTTTCTGCGGGAAAGAGCAGGTTCTCAGGAGAGAAGAGGCAGCATCCACACTATCTTACCCCTCGCAGCTCGCTTCCCTCAGGGGCTATGTTTAGCTCTCTGCTGAGCATCGCTTCCTAGGCTGGCCCTGGAGTCCTAGCCTGAAGCTGCTCACTGGAAGGGACCACCAAGGAGGCCAGCATATCTAGCGCATTCTTCCATGGGGGTTCCCTCCCATCTCCCCAGGGCTCAGGGCAGCACAGGCCGTGAGGGACTACCCTCTATCTCTTTCTTCATTGTGAGGGGAGACCACACTCATGGCCATTTTCTCCACCTGTTGCTAGGCTATGGGTATCTCCTTTTTTGTTTGTTTGTTTGTTTGTTTTTTTTCAAAACAGTGTTTCTCTCTGTAGCTTTGGAGCCTGTCCTGGAACTCACTCTGTAGCCCTGGCTGGTCTCGAACTCACAGAGATCCTCCTGCCTCTGCCTCCCAAGTGCTGGGATTAAAGGTGTGCACCACCACCGCCCGGGGTATATCCTCTAAAGGTGAATAAAGGGAGCCACTTGGCAGATGCAGACTAGGAAGTCTGTGGCTCAACTTCTCCCCGGAGGATATTAGAGGGAAGTCAGGGAGAGTTGTGCTGGAGGGGGTCTGGGTTTCATGATCCTTGTGTGTCTCCTGGAGGGGGTGACGGAGGGAAACAGAAACAAGGCTCTTTTCCTGGGCACACCCTACCGCTTCTTTCTAGACTTCACCTCTACAAATAAGACCCACTTCCTGCTTGTGGATGTGGGCTTTGCTCTCCTGCCAGGGCTAGGAACTTCTGGGAGCATCTACATATAAAGCTTGGAGTAGACACTGTGGCAGCTGCCTTTTTCTCAGAGGAAATGTGTCCCTGATCCTACAGGACGGGAAGCTTCCAGAATGTCTCCCTGTCTCTTTGGATAGAAGCAAGCAGTGACCTTATAAAGTCTTTAACTAATTAAAATCATTAAAGGGGAACATGGCATCCATCTGACAGGCTTCGCCTGCTGGGACCCCACTAAGCTTTATAGTAAAAAGTTCTCCCTAGGGGGCTGGAGAGGTGGCTCAGGGGTTAAGAGCACTGGCTGTTCTTCCAGAGGTCCTGAGTTCAATTCCCAGTGCCCACATGGTGGCTCACAACCATCTGTAGTGGGAACTGATGCCCTCTCCTGGCATAAAGGTGTATGTGCAGATAGAACACTCATACATAACATAAAGAAGTAAATCCCTCCCTTTACTTCATGTCTTCCCGCCTCACTAGCTCTCAGTCCACACAGCTGAACTCGGTCCAGCAGGTTTGTGCCTGGAGCTGTCAGGGGTGTCCTTTCTCCCTGGGTTTCCTAAGAAACCTGGAGCTGGTAGCCACCCTTGTCATGAGTGCAGGAAGCCAAGGTTGAAAAAGTTTCCGAGATAGACAGAGTATTATCAAGAACAGGCCCTTGTGGAATTTTTAGGTATGTAAAACCACAGATTCCCTTCTACCCTAAGCTAGGTTTACATGAGTTTCTTCTTCCTCCTCCTCCTCCTCCATTTTTTTTTTCAATACAGGGTTTCTCTGTGTAACAGTCCTGGCTGTCCTGAAA